CACATTGCTCCAAGAGCTTCTAAGGCTCCAACCCTTTTAAAATTAACAAATGTACACTTGCAATAAGAAACTTACTCTGGGCCCACGGTCAGTAGCCTGTGGTTGTCTAGTGGGCATTTGAACAGGCTGTTGAATCATTTCTGGACTGTCATGCTTGTAGAATGACTGGAGTGTTCTCACAACAAATGGGCGCACTATATTCACCTCCATTGCAGAAAGATTTTTCAGCTGATACCAACTCACAGGCAAACAAAATTAATCAGAACAACCAATGGATACACCTCATGTTTTCACTTAATCAAAAGGTCAAAATTCAAACAAACAGATCCACGTATACACAAGTTCAAACATGGCAAAATAAAAAATTGGCATAATCCAGTCTATTTTAAGTGATCGTGGCAGGGTCCATACTGAAAATTAGCAGCATTTCCCCCCCCCCCCCAATGTGTCCTGAGAAAAGAGCAGCATAATATGCAAGGGAGTTGCCTGAATTTACAGCCATATACTTATCAATTTTTAACAGCAACCAGAAAGATTGATAAAGAAATACAATAACACAATCTTTTCTGTTAGTCGGGTAGAAAATTAGGAGTTTCAATCGTTATAGTAACAAGCTGACACCAACAGTTGGACCTAAAATCAACATCACATCAACAAAAGCCCTTGTATTTTTATAGATCAAAACAATCAGAATATCCAGATAAAAACTTGAATACAAACCTTTACACAAACAAATTCCTTTGTTTTTTACTATCATCATCATCATTCTAGAAAAAAACTAAACATAAATATATATTTCAAGAAAAAATAATAAGCCAAAGATGCTACATTCTTAGCGAAGGATAAAATTTACGTGCAATTCCATTTCATGATGTCAGATCCAAACTTCCAAAGCAAAAAATATTCAATGTTTGTTTGTTAGTTTTGATGATAAACCATCTACTGTATTAAAAGTTGACTATATTTGCTAAGAATTCTGAAAGCATTCAACCATATAAAACTGTAAGACGTCACACAATTGTCACGCTAAAATGTGCCTCAAGATATGATGTTTCAGTATTAAATATTTTTAATTTGTCTTAACTGTTATTAATTGAGCTTATTTAGCTAGAGAAAGTACTTAACAAGAGCAATAGAACACAATGATCACTGCCTCATCAAGTTCTATTGCTGAGCATAAACAGATACTCTGTGAAATATCCATGTTCTTTGTTCTGAATATAGCAAACACCACAGTTCCACAGCCTTATCATATTCCCTATTTGGCAAGATAGCTTCACCATACTTAAGATCCAAATGCCATTAAAAGAATAAATGTATCATGCTCAAAACTGCCTTCTTCTGTCATATTGAGTCATAAAAAGTTTCAATGGTGTTCACTGATACTGATCTCTGAAATTATCATAATGATCTTAAAAAAAATCCCTTGCTATAACTAACATCTTATTCTTGGAGCTGTCACATGCCTAACCCTAACCCTCCCCATCCCCATATCCGTCCCAAATGGCCAAATGGGAAAGTGTCACTTCAGCTTATGGATATGCCAGGACAAAGCCAATAAACTGTAGAAAATACATATTTGCTTTTTCTAAAATAAAGCAAACTGAAGGCAAAAAACCACCAGCACATTCTCTAAATATAATATGATTCATGAAAGGCACAACTAAGAATAACAATTATGAGGTCTTTGTTAATTGAAGTTTAGTTTGAAGCAACAAACAATACCTTCACTGCATGCGTTCGAGCAGATATGGTCTCCAAGCCAGACTCAACTTTATGGAACCTCACATCCCTAATGTCTTCAATGAGAGACCTCACCTGCATAACATGAGTGGGCTAAAGTTTTAGCAGGGCAAACATCAAATGCAAAAAATATGTTTCGAAAATCTTCAACTGACCATGTATATGTCTGGAATATCATCCCTGGCACTGGCATAAACAAATTATATATGTCAGTTGAACCTCTTAAAAGGTCATGGGTCAAGTAAACACTGTTTATTAGGACTTACTGGTCAAAGAGAAGCCGAGAAATTTCGATATAATGGAAAGGTAGTGGCTGAAATTCCTTAGGGGAATCTCGTTCAGACTCCAAAACTTGTGTTAACCTCTCTGATATCCACAAATGTATATGTCAAGTCGTTAACAAACCCCGTGAAATTATGTCATAACACAATGCAATAAAATCAAATTATTTATATAAATATTGCCATATCTTCATATTCCAACAATTTAATAGGCAATAACAGAGATACAGACACAATGCACGCACATGTTGACATAACTTCATATTATAAATCCACTTTACTGCAAATTTTATCGAAAGTAAGTTCTCTAAACAACAAGACAACTTCTTAATTGGGTGACTTTTATGTGATTTGAGGCAACAAGAGTTTGCAGTACACTATACGCCGGTTGTATACTAACCAATCTCATATTCAATTGACAATAAAACTCAGATAAAAGTACTCACCAATGGACATCCACTCAGGTGGTCGAATCGTGCACTTCCCCCTTTTCTTCAATGCCACAGCAAGCCACAAAGGTACTTGTGTTGCTATTTGGGGGCGGAATGGACCATAATCACCCTAATAATCACACCAGACCACTAAATTCAACTCTCTAATAAAACCAATTAGGGTTTAACCATAAAATTGACAACAAATAAATAAAAAATTAATCAGCAAAATTACCGATATCAAATTGAGAGGCTCCATTCTCATATTAGGTACAATTTCAATCATTTCATCTTCAGCCAAGAACTCCATCTACAAAATCCAATTAATTGCATTTCTAACAAAAAACGAATATAAATTGAGGAAGATGATGTGAAGATTACCTCGGCTGCTGTAAATACTGAAGACTGGGGATCTGATTGGCCCGCCATTTCTGGAAAATTTGCTAATTGATTAGCTGAAAATTGAAATGCTTAAATTTGAAGTTCGTCGCCTGAATTTTGCCTAAAATGATTGATAGAATGTAGTTTGGGGAAAATTTTGGTTGCGTGAAATTGCAAACCCTAAATAATGATGGCGGGAAATGAATAGACTAACTAATGTCATTGATATTCACCTTTTGAATTTTTCGCCTAAAGGTCACTTGATTTTTTCAAGATCTTAACTTATTAACCTAAAACTTATTTTGGTGAGTATAAATTAAATTAGGTAGCCCTAATTAATCCTTATCACGACTTAACCGAACCTTTCTTAACTTATTTTTCCTGAACTTAATTGATCTGAACTTATTAACCCCTAGAATAAGGTGAACATAACAGGGTCTACGTAGTCTATAGTAATCAACATTTCTGCATATGAAAATATTAAGAAGGATTTAACCATATAAGTCAATCGTCAACCATGCAAATCACAAAGTCTAATTAAAAAAAGAGGAAAAAAAACCATAAAATATCAAATACTACATCCGTTTCCTATTATTTGCAACGATTTGACATGAAGTGTAAGTAAAAAATGTTTAAAGTTGAAAATATTACGAAAGAGAAGTAGTACGTATAATCACATAAAATAATTATATTAAAGTAACACTAGTTTCTATTAATTCCACACATAATTACGATAGTCTAGTTGTCGTAAGAATACAAAGTACAATAACAAAAGAGATATCTTCCGGTGCTATGGCCTAAGAAGTCGCCTCATTCTCGAAGTGCGTGGTTCGATTCTCACTAGTGATAAATCCTCTACTCGGGATTTCACTGTGTAACTAATAACATTGTTCAGGGAGAAATTTTGATAGTTTATAGAAACGTTGCAAGTATTAACATCTCAACAATTCATATTGTGCCAGTATTTTCATGGAATCGGTTTTGATCGAACTTTATGCCGATCGAAACGGATTGCAACAATGACATTTGATTATAAAATTATTGTAAAGCATTTGTTTAAGTTTTGTATCAAAATGTATAATCTATTTGGGCAGGGTTTGATTAGCTTACAAGATGATGGGCTGCAAATTGCTAAAAAGTGGTCAGTCAAGTCCAAAGTGACCAACTTTATATTAATCTAACGTGAGACAACCTAAGGCAGGTGTATACATAATTACACATATGCATATAGTTATACGAACATTGACCTAACTTTATCATGCTTGGTGGTGAGAAGAAGATCCATCATAGGAAGGGGATGTAAGGAAAATTCTTCCTATAATGTGTTTGGTGAGATTTGACTTCTAGCATCACGCTTGAAATTCGACTTCTAGCATCACACTTGAAAGAGAAGTCAGAGAGATTCGACTTCTAGTATCACGTTTGAAAAAAAAAGTCGGAGAACTAGCCAACTACTCTAGCCTCCTATATGTTGCATATGTACTAGTCCAATGCCATCATATATATACATATTTTGGTGTTTCACCTAGTTCACCCTTTACACTATTTTGGATTCGGGAATCAGTTATGAGTGATTAGATTCCAATCCTATCTCGATTGTTATTGTGGTAAATCGAACTAATACCATCACATATGGAGTATATTTCATAATGTTTTTGATATATGTACCCGTTTATTATCTTCATCAAAGTTATACCCATATTTCAAAACTTCAAACTACAGGAACTGATTTTGGCACACCCCTATGTGAGAAGAGCATATAAAAATGTGCTATCACATAAGGGTGTGCCAAAATTAATAAAGGATATGCCAAAATCAATTTTCCAATAATTGCACGGGAAACTCCGCGAAATTATTCGAACACAAAGCATCCATAGGAGTATAGGACTCAACAATCAACACCACCTAGGTGTAAAGTCAACTCTCAAGTCTCAACTCATGTACTAGTGACAAGGAGCACACCGTTTTGTTCGTCACTTGTCAGGCTGTTGCAAAACTACTCACACCACACACTCTAATTTGTACAAAAACTCGAAATTACCCTCGACAAAACGCAACAATAATGAACTATGTCTTACGTGTCAAGGTCATAAACGTAATTTGAGCTCAGAAGTTACTAGAATATCCAAATATTCGCACCCGCCGAAAACCACACATAAATAAACTATCCACTCACTCACTACCTTCTTTACATCTAATCGTAATCACAGAAATCTGTAAACCTAACCTCAAAAAAACCAAATCTCAGATAATTTTCAATCTTCTTCTTCAAAAATGGGCAGGAAATTCTTCGTCGGAGGCAACTGGAAATGCGTTAGTCTCTCTTTCTCTCTCCTATTCACTCTCTTTGGTTTTGAAATTTTATCGATCTGTTGTTTATGTGTTCATTAGAAATGTTGATCGATTTTGCTTTTTTTTTTTTTTTTTTTATGATTTGTTGTTGTAAAGTTAATCTGGTAATGAATTTTTGAAATCGTCGTTGAGTATGATTTTTAGATTGTTAATCTGAAATATCGATCAAATCTAGATGACGAAGCCGTTTTTTTGTGTGTTGATGTTTGTGATTTGTTTTTTTATGTACGATTGAGGCTTTTAGTATAATTTTATGAGCAATTAGGGTTAATTAATGCTTGATTAATTGGACAGTCAAATCTGCAATTAAGATGTTGAAGTACTTCAATACTAAGTAGCTAAGATGTGGAAGTTGTGACTAATCTAATCTCATGGAGTAGGAGAATTTTAAGAGTAATTAAGGTTAATTAATGGTTGATTTAGTTGTTTAATCAATTCACGCGAAGTTGTTAGGTTGTTTATTTAATTGGACAGTCAGATCAGCAATTAAGATGTTGAAGTACTTCATTACTTGCTAAGAGGTGGAAGTTGTGACTTACTTCATGGAGCAAGATAATATGAATAAATTTTAGGAGCATTTTGGTAATATCTGGAGCATGTATATTTGATTTAATTGAACTTAATTAGTGTATTGTCGTGTCTGATCACGCGTATTGATTTATGTTTCTTTAGAGAACAGAGAAGTAGGAGTTGAATGGCTTATAATTTCTTATAGTAACTTCATGATTGCATTTTTAGAATAGACCTTACAATAAAATGGTGATGAATTTAGTATTTATATGATATATATGCGGATAAAGCAAGAGTTGTTTATTTATAGAATCGTGTGTATGATATGTTTACTTATTTATTTTTACCTTTTCCTTGTTTCTATAGAACGGGACTTCAGGAGAGGTGAAGAAGATAGTAGAAACTCTCAATGCAGGGAAGATCCCATCAACTGATGTTGTTGGTGAGTGATTGTGAATCATATAAAGAGTTTTGAATTAATGTTCTTTGCTGGTAGACAAGGCAATTAAAATTCTTTTTTGTTTGGTTGCTTTCAGAGGTTGTGGTCAGTCCTCCATATGTTTTCCTTCCCGTGGTGAAAAGCTCATTGAGGCCTGAAATCCAAGTTGCTGCCCAGAATTGTTGGGTTAAGAAAGGTGGCGCCTACACCGGTGAAGTTAGGTATGTTGAATTATTTTTTCCTTGTTGCTGTCGTTTTTTTCTGGGTTGTTTTTTATGGTTGCATTTTTTTTGTAGGTTTGCTTGTTTGTGCTTTTACTTTACATATTTATTCATAACTTCCTGTCTCTTGACGAGATGTGACAATAATCTATTTCTGTGTAGCTGTCGTCGGATTATCTGACCTTTTTGCAACCAAAATATCTCATTTAGGCATATCACCTTTATCATTCTCAATACATAGGGTGTGTCCTAATAGGCCTATGGATACTCGTCCTGTTGGTTATTTTCACATGTTTGTTGAATGAGTTGGACAAATATATAGATGAGTCCATTATTAAGATACTTGTGAAGAGTTTTGTTATGAAGAATGTCGTTTCTGAATGTTATTTTGGGATTTTAATTTGTCATTGAAATTTATATAGAACTATCAAATTTTGAAGTTGTTAACTTTGGCTTCAGGGGTTATCTGATATTAGATATGTTTCTAAACTATAATTTTTTTACTTATTTCTTATTTGACCATTTTCTAAATGTAGTGCGGAGATGCTTGCTGACCTAGATATTCCATGGGTCATCCTCGGTCACTCTGAAAGGAGGGCTTTGCTAAATGAGTCCAATGAGGTAGGGATTGGCATTTTCGGTTGAGTTACTAGTATCATGGCTGTTTTTGCCGTGCATCTTATTGCCTTGGTTAATTTCTGTAATCTTTGCTATTTATTTCTGATATGCATATTTCTTCCTGAAGTTTGTTGGGGACAAGGTTGCATACGCTCTCTCAAAAGGTTTGAAGGTCATAGCTTGTGTTGGAGAAACCCTTGAACAACGGGAAGCTGGCACCACTATGGAAGTTGTTGCTGCACAAACAAAAGCAATTGCCGGTACATATTCTGATGTTCATATATGATTATATCATTGAAAATGTCGTGCGCTCTGTAGACGTTAAATTGAGCTTGAATGTGACTAGTCCAGCTTAAGACTAGATGGGATTCATTATTATGTTTTATTAATGCTTTAGATGCGTAAAATAATCAATCTGTCTGTGACAAATATCTATGTATATCATAAAGCAGTACTCTATCGCATTTAGTTTAGCATGTTCGCCATGGATCCCCATTATCTACCTAATATCCCCAGTATCTACAATTGCCTCACTTCTGTGAAAAGTTAGTGTATGGATGTTGGTAAAAGATGAATATTCATGTATATCTTTGTCTAGCAGAATGTAGCTGTTTGGTTAATGTCGTCTATATGTGCTCATGTTAAGGCCTATCTAACTATGTGGAATTTGTTCTTAGTTATACATGCACCTTCATGTTTGTATAGTTTTAATTCTTGAGCATGGTTGGATTGTGGATGTCAAGATTGCTTCATGATATTTCTGACTTCTGATCCAATATGGTTTTATTACCACAGACCGAGTAACCGACTGGACAAACGTAGTTGTTGCTTATGAGCCAGTATGGGCTATTGGAACTGGGAAAGTTGCATCTCCAGAGCAGGCTCAGGAGGTATACTTTTAGTTTTCTTGTCCAAATTGGGGTTGGTGTTCTTGCTTGCTGCATTATCAGATATCTGCCTCTCTTTTAACAATACAGTAGCTAAGTATGTGGTAATGATTCTATGATGATTTATATACTGTATTTTTTTTTTAAATAAAAATGATTTTGTTTTTCCTCAAAACAAGTTTTTATTTACTTATTTTTTAATGCTTTTATTGCTTGGGGCAGGTAAGACTATGTACATCTCTGACCTTAAAACCTTGCATGTAGTGCTGTCAAATTTCAAACCGAAACCGTTTAACTGCCCGAAACCGACCGACCCAAATGAGAACCGAACCGATTAAAAACCGATTTTTTTGAAACCGAAAACCGACCCGAACCGTATTTTAGTAAACCCGAAACCGAATTGACCCGATTAATGTTAAACCGTATAAGAACCGAACCCGTTAACAAACCGAACCAAATATAAACCGAACTGAAAGAAAACCGAACCGAAAAAGAACCGAACCGTATCTAACCCGAAACCGATTCCAACCCGAAACCGTTTAAACTGGCAAAAAAAACCGTTTACACCGGACCGTTAGCAAACTGATACCCGTTTGCACCGAACCATTTAAAAACCGAACTGATTGCAAACCGAACCGTTTATGAACCAAACCACTTCTAAATCGAACCGTTTACCACTACAAGAAATCAGGAAAATAACGACGGATTTCCGACGGAATTCCGTCGTAATCGGTTGTCGCAATACCCTTTGTCGGAAAAGGGTTCGTCGGAATAGATTTTCAAGCTCAACAAAGTCCGTCGGAAATTTTCGACGGATTGTATTCCGCCAGAAATTTCCGACGGAAATTCCGTCGGAACATTCTGATAAAAAAACAAAAAAAAAAAGGGTCCGCCGCGCCACCACTCCTTTCTAAAATCACCTTAACACCACCGCAACAAACCCCGCCCTCCACTAAAACCACCACCGTAATTCACCCTACCCACCACCGCAATTCTCCATAACCCAACTTACAAAGACCCACCACCACAACCCATAACCAACCCAGATCCACCTACCTAACCCTAACCCAAAGCCAGATCCACCAACCTAAACCTAACCGAAACCGTAACCCACCCACCTAACCCAAACCCAAACCCAGATCTACCCAACATTGCAATATACTGTCACAACATTTAGTAAACCTTAACTTCGAACAGTAAATGTTGAACTATCATCCTGTCCGACTCGAAAATCATAAAGGTAAAAGGAATTTCAATGACATAACATTTCTCAGTAATTCTAGCTCAAAAACTTCAAATTCAGCACAATTTTAGAAGCTCAAACAATCTAGCAATACAATCACACTAAAACCACCAGAAAAATCCTTAATTCAACACTACAACAAAATCAACAGAAACATCAAACATGTAAGAATTGCAAAAGTACGCAATACTCAAGCTCAAATCAAGCAATCAAACAAACAAAATTAAGTTGAATTCAGCATAATCTGAGTAAAATAGAGAGAAATTACAGTGAAGAATGAACCGATTTGGAAGGAAGAGGAAGAGGCAAACACAACTTCTGGCGACGAGACCTAGCATGACCAAATTGACGACAAAAACTGGAAAGTTTACCGATGAAAGGAGAATTGGAGGATCGAGACCAAAGATAATTGGAGTAGAGCAAAGTTAGGGTTCTGAAATTCTTGGATTGATCATTCTCTTGCGAAGGTGATGCAATTTCCATGGAGTTTCTCGATTCGGAGTTCATGGCTTTGTTTTGGCGCCGTTGACGAGTACAACCGTTTTGCCGGAGTAGTTCTCAACTTGTAATTGAGCTATAAACTGAATTTGATCACTCAAAAACCTCGGAATTGGGTTTACGAGGCCAAATTCGACCATGAAAACTCTAGATCTAGAGTTTTCATGGTCGAATTTGACCTTAAAACCGTTACTTTGCACCATTGATGTTGATGTAGAGTCTGTGTTGGTGTTTTTCACGACGGTGTTGTGGCATCTGGTTGTTGATAGTGTTAGGCGGTGGTAGTATAGTCGATGGCGGCGTGGTAAATCAAAAGAGGGGGGAAAGAAGATAAGGAAGATGAGAGAAGAGAGAGGCGAGAAGAAGAAGAAGAAGATGAAAGAGAAAGGGTTTCAAAAGGGTTTCATGTAAATCTAACCATTGATTTTTTAATCTATGGTTTAGATTGGTGATCTGTGTGTGTTGTGGGAGAAAGAATCTAACCATTGATTTTTTTAATCTATGGTTGAGAGTGGTGATCCGTGTGTGTTGTGGGAGAAAATCTAACCATTGATTTTTTAATCTATGGTTGAGAGTGGTGATCCGTGTGTGTTTGTGTGTTGTACATTCATCTACAAAAATATTATTCCCTCAATTCTTTAGTATTTTTTTGCCCCATTTGATCGGGATCAGTGCCCAAGACACGTATTAAAACATCTACTAGTATATATCTTTATTTTCATACACGTAAAAATTATAAAAACGTTATATTAATAAAATGTATAAATAGATAAATTTAAAAAGATCACTAATGAGTCTATAACTTTGTACTAATACATACGAATAACGATGATACGAATATTTAACTATGAGATGGTTAGATGCCATGTGTTAATAATGTGTACATATGATCGATTGAACTAATCAATATTACCTTGTTAATTAGTCATTAGTGTTTTCTTTCATTATACAAATCAAAGCACTTTGTAATATCTTCATAATTTCATGAAAATATATAATGATAAACGAGTCATAATTATCAGTCTTGTTGACTAATCAAGTATCGAATTACCAAATTGCAAATTTCCATTTCACAAGAAGTCAAAAACTCATCAAATCATGATTATGATACTATGCGTAGTATATAAATGATTAAATAAGAAGCATATAATAACCTAATTGTAAAACAATAATACATTAATACACTAACTCTTATAATCTAATTCGTAATAAACTAGTAAAATCAGTATGACTAAACTTGAAACAGAACATAATATGTATTTATAAAATCAATGAGAATTTGTTTATAATATGATGCCTAAATAAGAAATGATTCGCGACTTGCCGACTTTATATAAAACTTGTGAACGCAAAAGGTTAGCAAGTACTATCAAATTTCAAACCTAAACCATTTAACTGCCCGAATCCAAACAACTCGATAAACAATTTATTTTTTGAAACCGAAAACCGACCCGAACCGTAATTTAGTAAACTTGAAATGGAACCGATATGAATAACGTTAAAGTGGTTAAACCATCGAAGAACCGAATCAGTTATAAACTGAACCGAAAAAGAACCGAATCAGTTATAAACTGAACCAAAAAAGAACCGAACTGTTTCTAACCTGAAACCGTTTCCAACCCGAAACTGTTTGAACCGGGATAAAAACCGTTTACACTGCACCGTTAAAAAACCGCAACCTGCCTGCACCGAACCGTTTACTACCCGGACTGTTTACAACCCAAACCGAATTAAAACCGCTTAAGAATAAACCGAAACCGAATCGAACCGCTAACTATTTAAACCGAACCAAAACCGACCCGTGAGACAATTAAACCGATTCCAAACCGACCCGATTAACTACCGAACCGATTTCAAACCGAACCGAAACCGAACTGTCAAACCGTTTTGACAGTGCTACTTGCATGGGATGGTTTTATATTGGGTAGTTGTTGCATTATACGCTCATGTCTTTTTGGTCTTAGGCTTATTGTGGTGCATTCAAAATTTAGAACAGAAATGAAATTGCAATATGCCAACATCCTCAGCGTGTTTGCCAAAGAACTGGATAGAGCTACTCTTGCATAATCAGATAAATAAATTAGTTTGGATTCAAATAATCTTCACCAATAATGACATATATTTTATGCTTAGCCATGTTTATTTATTGGGTTGATTTTTGGCTTCAACACAAACGTTGGTCTATCTTATTAATTTATACGAGTAATTTTTTTACTCCTATCAAGCATAATTGTATTTATAGCTGGTTTTCTAGTGCATGAATTTATTATAAGCTTTATTGTAGTCATAACCTTTGTGAACATTTTATTTCATGCAACAGGTACATTGTGAATTGAGAAAATGGCTCGCTGCCAATGTCAGTTCTGATGTTGCTTCCACCACAAGAATTATCTATGGAGGTACTTCCCTTCTTTTCTGGCATCCTCTGTCCTTTGGCCTTGTCTTGTATCCTATCATAATGCCTTACATACTCCTAGCTTCTGTTTTTTACACTGATTCTGTTGATAATTCTTAATCATGCGTCAAGTTTATAGACTCTGTGTCTGAGGTGTGTTACATAACTTACTTTTGTTCTTGCTCTTCGGGTCTTCCCCTTCTCTCAGTCTGCTAAGAATTCACTCCATAAGCTATTACTACCTCTTGTTCCCATGTGAGGAGCATTCTATCAAACCTAACTGACCTGAGAATCAGCTTGTAAAATTCTGAATGTTTGTCTGAGGCAGAGTTATGAAATCCATTGTCTTTTTTATCTGGATCCCCATCCCCTCATCTTTGCTCTGTTGCATAAATGAAAGAAAGTACTCCGTAAATGCTCTGTAAAATAGAAACCAACTTGCATTTGTTCTCTTTAAGGCTTATCTATTATAGTATTATCTATGTTGCATGATGTAACTCTTCAAAAATGCTTCATGCTCTTTATTCCTCATCAGCTGAAATCTCCACTTTGGAAATTTTATATTGAATTAGCACAAAAGATGTTGAAGAGAATTATGTAATCCATAATTTTTTTCATTCTTCTGGATAGACCTCTCAGTAAATTATGATGTTTGGTGCTGCAGGTTCAGTTAACGGTGCTAATTGCAAGGAGCTGGCTGCTAAGCCTGATGTTGATGGTTTCTTGGTTGGGGGAGCCTCTCTAAAGGTATGTTTCTCACCTATCTTTAGATCTTCTCCTTAACCTGCTAACTGCTTCACATAAGTACAGTGTATTTTAAATTTCTTGCTCTTGATCCCTAATCATGATTGATTTTTTCTTTGTTCAGCCGGAATTCATCGACATTATCAATTCTGCTACTGTCAAGAGTGCTTAAGTCTATGGTGTCTGAAAAAGCTTCAGTCAGGAGCTGCATTCAAGGGCGATTTTTTTTTGAAGCTGCTTTTGAGAGAATAAACTAGAATCTGAATCTCTGTATTTTGGCTTACCAGTAGCGTTTGGCTATCATGTAGTGGAAATAACAATCTGATGTTGAACTATTTCACTGGATGACTATTACCCAGTCTCATTATCTGTGTAATCTTTAAATAATTTCTCTGTCCAGTTTGAAGATTTGACTCGGCCTCTAAAAGATACGAGTACATTTTTGGAGTCGTTGATGTCACTTAACACACTGCGGAGTATTGAAGTCAATGTAAACGATTCGAAAAAAGAGGCAGGTCCATCTGAATTAATTAACACTACTATCAGGTCTGTTGTTGAGCAACATTAAACTGGCTTTAAGAATGGACCTTCTGAAGTACAACTTATTTTTACTTATTTTAAAAAAAAATAAGTTCGGATCAGATCTGAAAAAATAAGTTTAGTTCTAAACATCGTATTATGTAAAAAAAATTATCGCTAAATATATTTAATTTCGTAATGAAAAAAATTTATGAAAATTGCATATTAATAATATACGTGTTATTAAAAATCTGTCAAGATTCCACATATATTTTTTTCCCCTTATAATTATCGTTCACTTCAGCTTAAAGGTTGCTTAGATCAGATAAGTTCAGATAAATAAAAATTAGGTGAATTAAACAATCCTTTAATTTGGAAGAAACAATGACTATGTGTAATGCGAAAATCTTGGCTAATCTTCTTGTGAGGCCTACTTCAGTGTAGAAAATGTTCTCCTTGGTTTAATTAGGGACATTGGTGCAGGTTGGTAGGTGCAATAGGATCTGTAAAATAAAGGCTTTCTTGGCCCCAATTGAAATAGGAAGCTATTGCTTGTTGGACCATATTGTGCTGGGATCATGTTGAAGAAACAATCTTTTAGGGTGGGGATTGGGATGGGGCTGTGATTGTGGTTAACATCATTAGGGTTATCAATCTATCTACACCTTCATGCAAGTCATACAAGAAGATAAAAAATTATTTGGATGTGTGACGCGACACGAGTCTTCTCTGTGTTAGATGTCGACTTATGCTTTTGGACTAGTTCAATTTGAGGTAGGGTTTAGTAACTCGTCATTGATATTATTATTGGTTTACACAGCTTCATGCAAGTTACACTAGAATATAAAAGTCTGTTTGGATTTGTGTTGCGAGTCGTTTGGTGTTAGATGTCTACCTACTTTTCGACTAGTTCTTTCTATTAAATATTAATATCAATTTTAAGCAGGGTTTAGGACCAGTCTTGATTTACTGAAATGAAGTGAACCGAATTGTTTATGAGATAATGAAATTAGGAACTGAAATTAAGTTGAATACAACAGGCCCTTGTAACTCGTAATTGATATAGTTATTGGCCAAGGAATAAGGATTTTGTCTAATGAATTGAAATTTTCATCCATAAGCTCTTTTGAAATTTGTTTGGCAAATTAGAATCTTGAAACTTTACCTAACAAAGAACTGTAGTTAAAAAGGTACCGTACAATATGTAGTAATGTTTCTTTTGAATTGAATAATGTACTGTATTATATGAAATTAAGTTACACATACTAATCACATACTAGTATTGTATAAGATAATTTTAGTGGCATTTTACATAGTTAAGTGTAGAATGCTGACATAGAATAGGTGATACGAAGTATTAGATTATTAGAGGAATAATAAATGGTTGATATTAAAAACTTAGTTTATAGCATGTTGATGTAGGGCTTATTCTCTTTTGCTTATTTTTAGTTCAGTTTAGCTTATAATTTCCTTTTCTCATAAAACATTCAGTTCAGTTCACGAGAACAGACCCGTAATTATTCTTGTGTAGCAGCTAGCCAGCCTAGCACTAAACTAGTCTACACTCAATCCAACTGGACATCAACATCCCTTTATTTATTTTTCATGTTATCACCAGAATTATAAGCAAGCTTTTGGTATACATCTTTAGCCTAATACGTACGCCCATGATTATGAGCTAATGACATAAATGGCATCACAACATTGACGACAAGTATCGTATTAATTTTCACTGAAACACTCGTATTATTTTATTTTCATCAGCTAGGATTTTAATGACTAAATTTATTTATTTCTTGTTGTTGGTTGTTAGAGGGGAGGTTGGGAATTAGTATTTGTATCATTATTTGACTCGTGTTATTCTATGATCATTTGTCAAGGACTACGTAATTTTTTCATATAAACAATTATTCTCATTTTTCATTTGTTGCAACTTGGAAGTGGACAATTATATTCTCAATAATACAGTAGACCTTTTCTTCTATTTTGACTTTTCTTAATACAATGAATATTTTAATTTCCTAACTACTCAACTTTTTTAGTATATAGTATGAAAATTGATCATCATCAGCTTAATTTGTTCAATATTTCTGAATATTTAAATAATCACTTTTATTTATTTGTAATTTGTTTCTTGTAAAAGTTACTTTGTGATCCTTATTCTTAACTGAAACCATTTTATAAAAAAAGAAGTTGTTGATCCCTTCACTAATTACTTTCTCATACTTTACTTAACTAAATAACTACGGAGTATTGATCTTAATTACATCAAATTAACTATTGCTCCAAATCAAATGGGTGTATTTCTAAAAATGGAGGGCGTATGGTGATTGATAACTATCAAATAAATGATGATAACATTTACAAATAATCATATAAATAAATAAATAATACTTGCATCAATGTTTTGGTGGATGACAACTAGTTGCTGATATTTTAAAACTTGTCAAAAACTGTGACTAAATCTTTTTCTAAACGACTCTTTAATCTTTATAATCCAGAAAATATTACGGAGAATAAAGCAACCAAGGTGATTTGAACCGATCTAAGAACTCTTCATCCTTGTGGAATTTGTTACGTTGCTAGTTGCCATGCAGTCTTCTCATGCACTTTCTAAGGTGTCTAGAATGCTTACTAATTCTTCATGCTCTTAAATTATTAGGTAAAAAGAAAAAGTTAAGGCCCCTCATGCTTAATTGCTTAAGAAATTGATGACATTATTAACATTATTAATATTTATTATAATGAAAAGCACCTATCATTGAAATAGACTAGTAGACTTAATTATGCGTTATGAAAAGTTACTATGGAAATGTGTTCCCTAATAAAGTAATAATAATGAAATTAAAAATATTACAACTAGTTTATCACAAGACGTGAGGCCATGTATTTTGAAGAAAGAATTTGACCTTCACTAGTCATTGTTCTTGTTGGTAGAATGGTAGGTACTTTGAATTTGGATAACTTATTTTGCATCAAACAATAATTTTCTCCTCTTTCAACCTTAAATAAAAATATCTTCTTGATTTGACGAAAAAAAAGCAATACAATCAACTTAAGAATTCGTTCTTGTTAATACTTGTAGGTTGAACATTTTAAAAACAATTTTTTTTAGTGAAATTATTTGTTGAGATGACTTCTCTCATTGGTCAAGTTGTTTAGATAAGATCAACTGAATTTTTATATCATAAATTAATTAAGTATTTTATTTTTTATTTTTATTTTTATTTTTTTTTATGATTTTTATCATTAATGTTAACGAGGTACAAAGTGTATATATACTCAATATGATGCAAAAAAAATGGACCAATATGAAATCGAAGCATGTACTCAACTACTCATCAGAGTCATCACTCACATGTTTGATATTGGTGCTCAACATTGAATATGCTAAAACCTTTTTATTATATTTGTAGATCTCATTCTAAGAGGACTAGATACTCATGTAGAAAAAAAATAAAAAATAAAAAATAAAATAAAAATAAAAATCTTTTTTATTTTTTATTTTGACGGAAAGAAAATCACCAATTGCAATTACTTAGAGTTTTCCAAAATCATAGGTTTAAGCTAGCTGACAATCTGACATCAACACAAAAACAAAAAAGAGCTTTTTTGGTGCAGCAGGCCACACCGTGTGGCCTGCTGTCAAATCAGTAAAAATAACGGATTACACAGTATAACGGGGTTACTATTCACTCGCATAACGGGGTTACTGGTTTTGTCAGGGTTACTTGTATTTTTTTAGGGTTTACTTGTATTTTTTGTTTTTTTTCAGGACTTGTATTTTTTTTTTCAGGGATTACTTGTATTTTTTCTTTTAGGGGTTACTTGTATGGATTATTTATTCAGGGGTTACTTGTATTTTTATTTTTTCTTCAGATGTTACTTGTATTTTTTTTTTCAGAGGTTACTTGTATGGATTACTTATTCAGGGGTTACTTGTATTTCTTTTTTCAGGCTTACTTGTATGGATTACTTATTCAGGGGTTACTTGTATTTTTTTTTCAAGAGTTACTTGTATTTTTTTTCCAGGGGTTACTTGTATTTTTTTTTCAAGATTTAGTTGTATTTTTTTTTCAGGGGTTACTTGTATTATTTTTTTTTCAGGGGTTACTTGTATGGGTTAATTCAAGGGTTACTTGTATGAGTTATTTATTCAAGGGTTACTTGAATGAGTTACTTATTCAGGGGTTACTTATATGAGTTACTTCAAAGGTTACTTGTATGAATTACTTATTCAAGGGTTACTTGTCACTTATTCAACGGTTACTTGTAAGCCCCATACCAAACCAATAACACCCTACAAGTAACCCTTGAGCAAAACTAGTAACACTCTACAAGCAATCTCTAACCAAACCAGTAACACCCTACAATTAACTCGTGAGCAAAACCAGTAACACCCTACAAGTAACCCCTCACCAAACCACTAACACCCTACAAGTAACCCCTCACCAAACCACTAACACCCTACAAGTAACCCCTGACCAAAACCATTAACACCCTACAAGTAACCCCTGACCAAAACCATTAACACCCTACAAGTAACCTGACCAAATCAGTAACACCCTCACCAAACCACTAACACCCTACAAGTATCCCCTGACCAAACCAGTAACACCCTACATGTAACCCCTGATCAAACCGGTAACACCCTCACCAAACCAATAACCCCTGACCAAACTAGTAACACCCTCACCAAACCAGTAACCCCTGACCAAACCAGTAACACCCTACATGTAACCCCTGACCAAACCGGTAACACCCTCACCAACCCAGTAACACCCTACATGTAACCCCTCACCAAACCGGTAACACCCTCACCAAACCAGTAACCCCTGACCAAACCAATAACACCCTACATGTAACCCCTGACCAAACAGTAACACCTACAAGTACCCATAACCAAACTAGTAACACCCTACAATTTTTGACGTAGAATGTTTGATCTAAGATTCCACGAAGAAAACGAGCTCACATTTCTTTGGTTCTCATCAATTTCACTACTTCAAATGTTGTTGATGATTTTAAGGATAATTAATTACAATTTTTCACAGCAATTTAACACCCAATTTCTACAATTTCGGGCTTTAATTGCAGCAATTTGGCAAAGAGGAAAGAAAAAATGGGTGGAGTAGAGATATGATTGTTGGTGATGTGTGGTTTGACTTGAAGAAGAAGCTAAGAAAAGAGGAGAGTGAAAATGGGTATAATAGAGATATGGTTGTTGGTGATGTATGGTTTGGAGAAGAAGATAAGAAAAGAATAGAGAGATTTTTTTTTTAAAAAAAAAATAATAATAATAATTATGGCTGGCCACATACAAAAATTTGTGAAAACCAAAACAATTCGTGTGTGCCGTGTGCGTAATGATAGACATTAGACAATGGGTAAATCTTTATCAATCTCAAATTCTCAATTATAAAACATGAATTTCTTGACCATAATCACCAAATCCATCTCCCATAACATAGTAACACACACACATGCACATAGATGATAGATCAGTTAAGTTAGCACTACCTACAATAAACTATTCAGTCAACTCAAAAAGTCTACTACTGAATTATTTTAAAATGTAAATAAATTACATTTTAATTTTTATTTCGACTGCATGCCAGGCTATTTCGCGCAAAAAGCTACTGCAAAACGTTGAAAATTCTTTGTTTTCATATCAAATTGCTCCCACCTCTCATCTTCCCCTGTCTTTTTCACTCTATTAAAATCTTTACTACAACTTGCTTAAATTTCTGGGTATTTTCCCTTTTTAATTATCTTTTTCTCACATTCAAATAAATTCTACTCACCCCACCTTACCAGATATCAGTTTAGTTTCTGCAAAAAAAAATTCAGGAGAATTTTTCCTGAATTTTTAGCTTTAATGGGGTGTTGTTTAAGTATTCAGATTAAAGCTGATGAAAGCCCTGTTCATCATTCTGGTAAGCGCCACCAAATTAATTATCTTTTTGGGGTTAATTTTCTTTTGCTTTTTACACTGATTTAGTGTTTGAATTTAGTTTATTTCATGTTTTATTGGGTTAAATGGTTCATATAGTTATACATACATCAAATAATGTTTGATTGTATGGTATTGGTTGGTCAATTAATTTCATGTTATCATTGATTGAGAAATGGATAATTAGCTATAATTTGAAATACCCAAGTGAATTTTTCATTTTGTTATATTTTGACTAAATTGGTGTTATTAATGATTATTTTGGTGGGTTATTTGGAATATCTTATACTTTTAATCATATAAATACATGATTTTGCATAATCTACATGGTAGAATTGGATTAATTTTTCTTCAAAGGGGATGATGAATTGGAACTTTAGAATAGTCAACTATAGATTATTGCTAAGGTTTTACTAGATTTTGGGCATGGGACAATGTCCATTATATACCCAAGGCTTTTCTATATAGCTAATTTGATTTCGAGATAGCCTTGGGTATAATCGATTCTAGGTATACCCGAGTGTATAGTAGAAGTAATCGTTGATAATATTGTAACTGTGATTAGATATATATAGAGCATACTTTGTACTATCTCTATGTCCATTTCTAAGGTTTTAGTTAAATTGTTTTTGTTCTTATGTAGGTGATGGCCATGAACGAGCTGGATCTGATAGATTAAACCTAAGATCAGAGGGAGAGATATTGCAATCGTCGAATTTGAAGAATTTTTCTTACAGTGATCTTAACCAAGCAACTCGCAATTTTCGACCTGATAGTGTGCTTGGAGAAGGTGGCTTTGGTTGTGTGTACAAGGGGTGGATTGATGAGCATACCTTAGCACCTGCCAAGCCTCGTTCTGGAATGGTCATTGCAGTCAAGAGGCTAAATCATGAAGGGTTTCAGGGTCATAAAGAATGGGTGGTAAGCATTAATTTCATGGCATATCATGTTAATCTACTGACTTTTTGTGAGATTCTTTTGATTCATTGCTCAATCATTAGGCTAGCTAGTTGTTTCGTCTAAATTATTATGTTCGCGTTCTGCACTTCTGATATCCTTACCTTCTGTTCATTTGGGTGTCTATTTGGATTACTCTTACTAAATCACTGTCTGTTTTGAAATGCAGACTGAGATCAATTACTTGGGGCAACTACGACATCCTAATCTCGTGAACCTGATTGGATACTGCATAGAGGATGAGCACCGCCTGTTGGTATATGAGTTTATGCCTCGTGGTAGCTTGGAGAATCATCTATTCAGGAGTGAGTTTTATAGTAAACTTTCATCTTCAATGGACTGAAGATTAATTTGCTGGTTTCTGTCTTCTAAATTGTGGAAATCTGTTGTTTTTGTACAGGATCATCTTATGTAGAGCCTCTATCTTGGAAACTCCGAATGAAGATTGTTCTTGGTGCTGCAAAGGGGCTTGCCTTCCTCCACAGCCCAAAGATTAAAGTCATTTATCGAGATTATAAGCCTTCTAACATACTCCTTGATTCAGTAAGTCTAGCTCCTGTGTATTATTAGCTAATTAAGCAATTCTAAACTCGCTTGCAATGTTTAACATCCTAAATGTGTAATACAGGATTTCGATGCAAAGCTTTCTGATTTCGGTTTGGCTAAAGATGGGCCATGTGATGACCAAGGCTATGTATCCACACGAGTCATGGGTACCCAAGGATATGCAGCTCCTGAATATGTAGCTACTGGTAAGAGAAGAGTTCCTCTCTCTGATTTATCTTATCACATGTCTGTTTTTTCATAGCATACAATCGTCAAATGTTTTGATAGTAATTTATTTAGGGTTGATAATGAATATACTGCTAGTTCCATTGGACTTGATTGGAAAAAGGTTGGACTTAAACTGTACTCAAAATATATGTACCTTCAGACTTGATTAGGAGTTAATCCATTGAACTTATTTATTGTAAGGTTGGATCTTTGATGTGTAAGCCTAATCTGACTTTGAGTTTTCTTTGCATTTTCTGCAGGTCACCTCACTCCAAAGAATGACATATACAGTTTTGGGGTCGTTCTCCTTGAAGTGCTGACAGGAAGGCGAGTGTTAGATGAAAACCGGGCTGTGAAGGAGAGGGACCTACTAAAATGGGCAATGCCTTACCTTCGGAAGGAAAAGGTAAGCAGGATCATGGACACAAGAATCCAAGGACAGTACTCTTCACGGTCAGCCAAAACCATAGGCAACCTTGTTATCCAGTGCCTGTCAATAGACCCAAGGTTTAGGCCAAATATGGATGAGGTCGTCTCAACACTAGAGCAACTCCAAGACTGTAAACCCACGGGTGGTGATTTATACCCTGCTGTCCATCGCGATTTATATCCTGTCAACACTGAAGTGAAGAGTTCTAATCGGCAAAACCAAGGACCCAAAAATCGGAGGAGGAGTAACATTGCTAATGAATTTTGTAATGGTGGTATTTTTATTTCTCCCGATACTACATCATCTATACCACCTGTTCTAAGCTGACATGAGTTCTTTAATTTTCTTTTCTCATCTTTCGGTTAAACTGTTGAAAGGAGGGTAGGAGTTCAGAGAGTGTAAGTGTTTCTCATGTCGCGTATGATTTAGGAGCATCTGTTATGGAATGAGAAGAGATAGTTAGGTAGGTTGTGTTAGCATTTGGGTTTTTTAATGTAAATTGAATAACTTGGGTAATGGGTGTACTAAATCCCATGCTTTGGGTTATGATTGTACAGCAAGTTTTATTGTTGTAACTTTTTACATTGTGTGGAGTAGATTTATTTTAACTTATTTAACTTTTGTTTGTTTGATAATATTTTTCAGAGGTGTTGTAATGTAAATAGATTTGCTTGCTCCTCTGAGCTCAGTATTCTGCAATAATATGTCTGCATGATATCAGACTTTTCCATCTTCGAGTGCTCTTTGCCTTTGCTCTATGCTGTATGTAGCCTTTAGAGTTGTAGCTTTACCACAATTTACTCAAACACTGTCTAATCTGATTTAGAAAGGACCCGCAAAGAGCAATAATGTAGGCAAAATTCGATTTGTGGTCTCGAATTCTATCTCTATGACTTTACTTACCAACCTTCAATGTTAGTTATTTTGAAACTTAAATATTCCACCAATGTAAATTTGCAGTTTTAGCACACACGATGACACAAATTATGACATTGAGAAAAAATTCAACACAAAAACCTTATCTACATTTATATTACATCAATGAGCCATAATTACTCTCTTACAAGTAGCTTGTATATCATAATTATTTGTCCGGAATCGAAAGTTTACTCATGCTAAATTTTTTGTTGCAAGGGGAAAGACGAGTGCATTTACAGGAAAAGATCCATAAGCAAAATACGTTGTAAGGTAATGACTCAATACAATGACTACCACTCTACTGTGATTCTGTGAAAGACACTAATTTAGTCGGATGATAACCAATAACATTTCCTTTTTTCTTAACATGGAAAAAACTATCCTTCGAGTACCAATAATAAGGATATTAGAAAAATAAAAGTCCTTAAGCACACAATAGTCTTTGGTCCCTAATTTCGGTACATAGACGGTCCAACTACAATACAAACCGATCCGATCTGATTCGTTTAACACCCCTTTCAGGGACGCTCGGACTAGGTAGCCAAAAAAATTCACTTTAACCTCTTCTTTCCACTACTAGTCGCCAAGTTGGTGCAAAACAAATTGCTACTCTACTCGTTACTCTTATCATCCATTCACAAGCTGAGGTTTTGGGTTTTTGCTGCATCTTCTTCATCTTCTTCTTCCCCAAAACAAAGCAACCAACAATGGCGCTACTACAGCAAGTATGGTCTATCCCAATTGCACGTGCCTCAATCCACTCACGTGCTTTTGCCCTCACAATCTCCTCTCGTTCATTTACTGTTGTTGCTTCTGCTTCTGCTTCTGCTTCTCCTTCTACTACTATTACAACTACTGCTGCAACTAGTATTGATACGACGCCGTCTAAACTTTCAAAAGCACCGCCTACCCGTGCGTCACTTTCTGACCCCCGTGTTCTTCTCGGCATGTCTGAGCTTGAACTTCAACAGCTTGCCCTTGATTTTGGCCAGGTAATTTTTTGTTTTTAAATGAATTAAATCTTGTTTGTATACATGAATTATATTTGATTTTTACCATGATTTTTGATGTTTAATTGATGGATAATTTGTGGGAATTCAGCAAGGTTATAGAGGGAAGCAGCTTCATCATTTGATTTATAAGAGGAAAATCAAAGAAATTGATGAATTTGTTCAATGTAAGCCCTGATAATTTTTAATTTTAGATGTATAATTAACTGATTTCTAAATTGCTTAGAGAATATTCAAGTAAATTATGAGAATTTATGTCACTAATTAGGGGGTTTGCTTATTTATGGGGAAAGTGCCACAGGCATTGAGGAATGAGCTGCAAGAGGCAGGATGGAAGGTGGGCCGTTCGCCGGTGCATCATATGGTCACTTCTACTGATGGCACTATTAAGGTTCAAACCCTTGAAAACCTCATTTGGGTTCATTGCTGAAATTTAAGTGTTTCTTGGTTTTGTATTGTTTGGTGTCAGTGTTTTGTGTAATTCTGTTGGATTGCTCTATGGTGTCGGATTAATTTTGAATTGATGTGTTTTGTGTACGTTGCGAAATTTAAATTCCCAATCGAAAAGCATGTATTGATGGGAATTGGAAATTTCTTACTCCTAAAAGGCTTAGGGGTAAGAATTAAGATATCATTGTAATTTCTACTACTGTTGTTTGGGATTGGGATTTCTATGCAGACTGCAGAGTGTTAATATTGCCCCTTCTTTTTAATATGTATGTTGCAATAGGTTTTTGAAAAAGCTTACGTGAACTTGTAGATTGAAAGTTTTTGTACATGTTATAAACTTATAATATACACCATAATAATTGCAATATTCTCTTTTGTTGATTTACTTTATGAGGGTGATAGTAATGTAGCTCTTCACTGAAGTTGCATAAGAGACTGATGAACAGTTTATCAATCTGAAATACTTTCTGCTTTTGTGATCATATTCATGTATGATAGAACTTACTCTCATTTAATTCTTATTACTGGTGTATGCTTTTGGTAAAATGATGAGGCTATGAATGATTGCTCTTTTATTTGGCCTCAAAGAATCTTTGTATTATCCCTGCAGTTACTGCTAAAGCTGGCGGATGACAGGTTGGTTGAAACAGTAGGAATACCAGTGACAGACGAGAACGGTTCAGTAAGGCTTACTGCTTGTGTTTCATCACAGGTCATTTTCTGAAACAGGCCTTAATTTTGGAAGAATCTTCTGCCTTAACCTCATATATAATATTTGTTCATTTAAAAGTCAATTACTTTTGTTTGTCCATCTGATCTTTCTGAGTAATGCTACTCATGTTTTATGCTTTTCATGTTGGTGGAGTAGGTTGGTTGTCCATTACGATGCTCTTTTTGTGCTACTGGGAAGGGTGGTTTCTCGAGAAACCTTCATAGGCATGAAATTGTTGAACAGGTTTGTTCAATCTCTATTCTGTCTATTGCAAATTTGCAAGGTCTTACTTGTTATTAGTCCAAAAGCATGGAGCTATACATATGATGTAGCATCAAATTTCAATTGATTAAACTGAGTTCAAAGGGCAACAACTTATACCAATAACTCAAGAAGCAATTACACGCAAGCATTTCATTTCCTCATCAATTTGCCATATCATGAGTTATGCTTATGAACTCAAATGCTGCAAGAGGCCAAGAGCTTCTTTTACAATCTATTTATACCATTTTTTTTGCCTTTTCTATTTCCCAATTCTATATTCTTCTTTGTACTACCTGAAATCAAGAAAATTTATTTTGAATTTAAATTTGTAAAAATGAATGAGCTGCTGTAATTTTTTTCCCCCCTTCGGTTTAATATGGCATTGATATTTTTATAAAAAAAACCTTTCAGGTCTTGGCTATAGAAGATATATTTAAACATCGCGTCACAAATGTTGTTTTCATGGGCATGGGGGAGCCTATGATGAACTTGAAATCTGTTGTTGAAGCGCACCGATGTCTGAACAAGGTAGTGCCTATCATTTGTTTATTGGAAGATTGTAAGCACTTTTTTTCCTCCTTTTTCAATACATTAGCATGTGCCTCAACTACCCAGCTCTTGCTGATCATGGTTTGTGGCTTTTTTTTTGGTGGCATCACTGAACTGATTCACTGCTGTGGTTAATCATTTTCTTTCAGCAACTTAACCTAGTTGCATTTTAAGTTTTGAAAAGCAAGAACATCAGGATCTCTGTCCAAATCGAAAATCTGGAATTCTTTGTCCATTGCTCTTGTGACAGAAGAAGTGCCACCATTTTTTTTTATTCTAAGATGCAAGCTCTATGGGAACAATTACTCTACTTTTGACACAGATGAAAGACATGAGTTTTTTTTTTTTTTTTTTTTTGGCATGTTATTCTCTTTGACTCAACTGTCTTGGTATGCAACTTTTTACTCTTTACGCTCATTTAAAGTGGTCATCTCTTATTTCAGGACATTCAAATTGGGCAAAGAATGATCACGATATCAACTGTAGGGGTTCCGAACACAATGAAGAGACTGGCTACATACAAGCTTCAATCCACATTAGCTGTCAGGTACCTCACACTGAGAATGTCTACTAGTATTTCTCTTGGAAGTTTGTGTAATTATTTTGGTCTAATAAGCTGTACAGATATGTGGCTTACTTGTTTATCTACCCTTGTGCTTAGTGGTCTTATGTGTACTAGAAGCGGTACCAATTTCTTCATGCATTCCCTTTGTGTGGTTAAGCTGCTTTATGATGTTAATATCAATTTAACAACAATAACCACCTAATTCAGATCTCGTTATAGTGATTAGTTATGCTAGTAAAGTATAATATATCCACATGTATATATAATTTGATGTAGTAAGTGAGGTGGTCCCAATTTGGGCTTTCTGCCCATGTAGTAAGCTCTTTCATGTGTTGATATGAATCCCCAAACAGCCTTGACAATGTTTAGGTGCTTAAAGACTTCACTGTGGTTCATTTTAGGACTTGTATATTGGATATCTTAATAGTTCTCCTGGATCTGACTTCTGGTCTTTAGAAAGGTCTCACATTTGTGCTTTATAGTCTTTTGGCCCTTCATGCTAGATTTTCTAGGTCATTTTTTTATGGGTGTCATATGTGCTTCAGATAGATATTAATATATTATAGACCCGAGCAGTATAGAGAAGCTAGCCTGAAATATGTCATCATCAGTATCTTAAGTAAACGATGGATATGTTGTCTAATAGGCCTTTGGACCAACCTGACTTTGCATTGGGAGGCTTGATAGATAGCATCATAGCAACATTAAAGCAGTGATGCATCAATATGAAGTGAGCTTTCATCTCTTCATTTGATGTAGATGTAATAGTATATTCTTCATTGTTGGGACTTGAGAAGGTGGAAAGAACGTCAACTAGCGCAAGAGGTTCTTGCTGAAGACAGATTGATGGTCTCCCTGGCTGTTATGGGGAGCACCCCTGACCCCTTTCCTTTTCGGTTCTGGAAAAGTTAAAATTGTCCAGTGTCGAAATTTTTGGAGGTTTTGGGATCCAGTGTCGAAATTTTTTAGGATGGTAGGGGATAAATCCTAGGATCTTATTATATTGTTTGGAACTATATACGACCACTAGTCGGTCATATAAAGGCTCGTGGTGGGCTAGAGTTAATTAAGGGAGGCATGTACGTAAACGGCTAAATTGATGGTTTTAAGACAAAGTGGATGATTCCAACTGCCCAAATGGCCTCCCGAGATGTGGGATCCATGCGAAGCACTTTGAACTTTTTCCTTTTCGGCCTGACAAATGTAGAAAATTGTCCAGAAGTAATAATTCAAGCTTTCGGACCAATTTTTGGAAATTTTTCCAAAATTGAATTGAATGCGTAGTGTGACCCCTAGGGTCATATAAGTTGGTTAGGAACCATAACAAGCTACCAATAGGTTTCAACTACCCAAATGACCTTTATTTTAGCATGGCTTACGACACTTTTAAAAAGAATTAAGTAGCAATTTTTGGATGTGCCAAGATCCTATATGTGAAAAAATTAAGTAATGTGCCAAGATCCTATACTTCGTTTGCTATGCCTCTTTGTAAACTGCTTTGTGCTACAAACACTAAGTATTCTCCCAATTCAGCTGTAAGATTTACCTATTTGTAGCTTGCCATGTAGGTTGCTTAAGGCCACTGTTAGAGTGTTGGGTTATTAAGACTTTTGTCTTTTGAACTTTTAATTGTCATCTTCCACTTCTAGTTGTTCTGGGAAATGTGTGATTCCCTTTCCCTTGTCTCTCTTTTGTATGTAATACTGAATAGTAGTACAATTATTTCTTGGGGTTGGAGATGTCCAGAAAAAGCTGTTCTCTTTAGTAATGATATGTTGAGGAAATTGGACTTATCACTGCTTTGGGAATTGCTCTATTACTGCTTTTACCTCTATGTTGTACTTCACTATATCTCAAATTTCTAGAATGTGTTTGATATTGATTTATTCCCCCCCCCAAAAAAAAAAAATAAAAAAAAATAAAAAAATATGATTGATTAGGTTTTTTGGCATATGTAGTAGATATTCCTACATATCATCATTTGCTGTATTCACACCTGATGCTCTAGTTGTGATGGTTTTAACTGATTACTAATCAGCTTTACTCTGTAACTTGTGCTTCAGCTTACATGCACCGAATCAGAAGCTTAGAGAATCGATCGTCCCAAGTGCTAAAGCTTACCCCCTGGAAGCATTGATGCAAGATTGCAGGGATTACTTCCTTGAAACTAATCGAAGAGTGTCTTTTGAGTACACTCTTTTAGGTACTATGTTCAATTAATTGTGCCATTAGAGTTTTGGTGTTGTGCAAAAAGTTCACTGGCCAATGTCTATTTCAGCTGGAGTAAATGACTCCGTAGAGCATGCAAAAGAGCTTGCTGAGCTTCTACATCAATGGGGACGTGGTCATCATGTGAACCTGATACCTTTCAATCCGATTGAGGGCTCTGAGTATAAGAGGCCCTACCGAAAAGTGGTATGTTTGCTTTCTTTTGTAATGTTGAATTCTTGCTTCTAAGTCTCTTGGAAATTCCTAGCTCAATTTTAGCACTAGCTGGCTATTAGAATGGACTAACTTAGAAATTAGCAAAAGAAATGAATTCCTAATGACTGACGGGGTGAGGGAGGGAAGGTATAATAGATCCATCTCAGAGATGGGGAATGAATATATATAATCTCAGATTCTCAGGGACATTCTTGACATTCCTGACATATATAAGGGCATTCTGGGTATCCTGAGTCCTGATTATATAGGGATCAGTTTCAGAAAAAATTCCTCTTAGCTTGGATGAGTTTGCCCAATTGCCCCATCTCCAAGATCTTTTCATGACTTTGAGGGTAGGGACTCTTAGGAAGGGTTCGGGAGAAGAGGATCATAGAACTGTAGGTGGCTGGAGGCAGCAAAGATTTTTCCTCGTCACTTGAACATCAATATTGACTGGAATGCGCATATGTTTTATAATTACTACAGGTGATTGCCTTTTCTGCTGCTCTGGAATCTCACAAGATAACCACAAGTGTACGTCAAACAAGGGGACTCGATGCAAGTGCAGCTTGTGGACAGTTGAGAAATGAGTTTCAGAAGACACCTTTGGTTAAAGGTGCTGAAGCTGCTGGTGCTGAGATGCAACAATCTCAAGATGTCGCCCTTGCTAGTTGATGGCATTCATTAGGTTCAGTGTCACTTTTGCTATAATAAGGATACGAAGGAAACTTGCTTAAGCTGGTGCCAGACAAATAGCTATGTGCGTATCAACTTGCATCTTTGGTGAATGAGAAAGGGGACTTAGGTCAAGATTATAGATGATAATATCGAGTTATTGACAAGAAGAAACTATTCCTTGTTGCTGCCTAGTTACAACAGCCTACTGCTTATAATTATGGGTTATGGTTCTGGACAAAGCTGAGATTTTGAAGATGTGTACAGTTTTGTAATATCAACTCGAATTGCATAGCTTAAAGAGAACCTTGTTGAATTAACATTCATAGATGCCTTTGTTTTCTATTTTTTTTTTATTTTTTTTTATTTTTTGATTTTAATCAACTTATTGTTATAATTGTTTTTATTATTACATAGCATAATGAGATTTTTAGAGTTAAATGATTTAAAGAGTTAACCTCTGTGTTTATTTAAGTGTCCCACTTTGATTGACACTTTTTTTTAAGATACTTTGATTGACACTTTTTTTTTTAAGATACTTTGATTGACACTTTTGCAATGCGAAAGGTTGATCAATAATATGGTTAGTTAACAATAAATATAAATTATAAAAAGCTAGCATTCGGTAACTACACAATATAAATTGATAAATTTTTTTTTTGGAAAAAAATTGATACAAGTCTTAGAGCACTCACATCAGGGAGCATTTTTTTGCTCATGAGTAAAAATGGTGAGCAAATTTGTTAAAAATGGTTCCCCATCAATGATCATATTGAAAAATGCTCATGAGCATTTCTGATTTTGCTCATCCTATGAGCAAATTTGAGGATGAATAGTAACTACGTGGGGCCCAACAACTCTCCAATGTCCCTGTGAGCTTCTTCCTCCAATCAACAAATATTCCCGTTTTTAAACGGTAATTAATTTAAAACGGCTATTTTGGCCGATTTATAATTAAAAAAAAATCATCAACAGTTATAATTTTTTTTCTCTACAAATAGGGATCCATTTTGACATATTTTGATATAATTTCAAAAATCACAAAAACACTCTATATTATTCTTACTCCCATTTCAAGTGAGATTTATAATTTATAATTGTTCAATGATTAAAATTCAATATTATTAATCAATATTTAATAATTGTATTAAGTTAAATAATAGTATAATTGTAATTAGTAGCACTAAAACTTCATTTAACCAAAACATAATTAATAATAATATGGTGATGTGTAAGAGAGAGAGATGTTGGTGGGGTATGTGAAAAAGTAGGAGAGAGATTGATGAACAATTTTTTTTTTGCTCACTAGTGGGATAAAATTTGCTCACAAAAAATGCTCATGGTTGGCAAGAGAGAAAAAGTGGCTAGAGAGAGAATGAACAATTTTTTTTTGTTCACTAATGTGAGTGCTCTTATATGAATATGTATGTTTTTATGTACTTATATTACGTAACATAAAACATTGGTCCAAATGGTAAACCATATACTATACGTGAAGTCGTGAATAATGCAAAAGTCAAATAAATAATGAGTTTGAAGTTTAAGTGTTTCCGGTCCGCAAGGAAAGAAAATACCAACACCTGAACCGGCCAACGGTTCACAGTTGTTAACCGTACATACGTTTTCGTGTCGTCATTTAAAAAGAAAGTACCAAGCTTAGGCGTTGAGTTTCAAGGGTTTTCTCTCTCTTTCGGGAGTTCGTGTTTCAATCCTCTCTCTTCTGTCTTTCTCTCTCCTCTTCAATCAACTTTCTCTTTCAATCCAATTTCTGGTAATCTTCTAATTCTTAATCAATCTTCTTTTTTTCCTTTCAATTTTATGAATTTAATTTGTTATCTTTATTTCTTTTATTCGTCGGCGACGAAACCCTAATCTGCGATTTTTTTTGTTTTTGTTTTGTTGTTATATTAATTTTGATTCTTGGAAAGTTTTTTTTATGTTTGTATTTAGTGAATTAATTTACCTTTGATTTGGTAGATTTTGTGTTTTTGAGATTGTTTATCTGTGGATTCTGTTGTTTTTTTCGAATATAATCTAGAAATTAGGGTTGGTGAATACTATTCTTATTGTCAGACGATAAGAGGTGAAGGTGGTTAAAGGTTTTCCGTATTTGATTGTTGTATGAAGTAGGTGATGTTTTTGATTTATTATACAGTATACTCGTAAAAGATTGGAACTTTACCTGCGATTCATTTGTCTCAATTTATCAGCTTCCTTTTGAATTGAATATGTTGTAGAAAATTGCTTTGTTTTGTTTATTGTATAGCTATTTCCAAGATTTCTCCATGTTTGTTGTGCTATTTATATGAAGGGGTATTGTACTACTATCAAAGTTTAGCTCAAGTGGTTAGAGCTCCCCTCCCGATTACAGGAGATCTTGGCATCGATTCTCACCCTCGCCCTTTGTGGCTTCTAAAAAAAAATAACAATTAGTTCTTGTATGAGCCTGAGAACTCGTTTCGATTGCGTGATTTGTTTTCTATCACTTTTAATTTGTTCCCTTGGTGTTGGTATACAAGGTTCTGTCTAGAAGTGTTGTCCCTGTTTTAGTTTTGTTATTGAGGTATTTTAAGCACTTTGTTTATTGTCTGCTATTAATGTAGTTCTTGCTTTTTCAAAAGTAACTGATGATTTGTTTGTATCGTAGCCCACTTCATGAGGAGGTACAGCCCTGGTTATTACAGTCCCCCACGAAGGGGTTATAGTAGTAGAGGAAGAAGCCCTCCGAGAGGTGGATATAGCCCCCCGAGACGGGGTTACAGTCCTCCAAGAAGAGGACATGGTGGTTATGGAAGACGCAAGGAGCCAAATCATGGAAGCTTGTTGGTTCGTAACATTCCATTAGACTGCAGGTAACCGCATATGATGTTTTTCACTACACTGTTTTATGCTTGTTATCTGGTTAATTTTATTTTTCAGGAATAGATTTTTTAACACTGCAAATAATAACCGAAAGTCGTGTTATTGTAGACCTGAAGAACTTCGAGTTCCTTTTGAAAGATTTGGGCTTGTCCGTGATGTCTATATCCCAAAGGATTATTATACAGGGTGAGATGTTTTTGCTTTTCTTTTGCTGTGTTCTTTAATTTCCAGGAATCGTAGGTCTTGACATGTCATTTTCTTATTCTTCGTCGATCAACCATCTTTTTACATTAATTGATACATTATATTAGTTGCATTATTAATTGTGCTGTGCATCTCCACCCATCCTTGGCTCTATCAGTCTCTATCCCTAATATGGGAATAGCATAATCTTCGTGTGTTCAATAACCTGGAACTAATAAATGAAATAGTTGGGACTACATTTTTTGGGATGAGGGTAGTGGCAATATGCCAATGTGTGGATGCTTGCGAAATTTCTTTGGATAGTGCCTATGCAAGTGACATTCTTCAAATTTTGTCAAACATATCTCTTTGATTGTCAATAAGTTGTTTTCTGAACTGGTTTGTCAGGGGGTGTATTGGTTTGAAGTTAAACAAGCCCAAGCCCCACTTTTGATCAAGATCCACTGTATATGATTGCTTAACATTTTGCCTGCCAAGATTTTAGAAGTAATGTTATAAAGAAGAATCTACCTATATGAAGATAAAGTATGTGATGATTATCAATGAAAGCTTGAGTTGAAGAAAGATGATTGATTCTTGATGAAATGAAGACAAGATGGCAAGGTTTTTAGTTTCATCCAGGGTTGAAGAGTTTCATTTATTTGCACGTGATTCATTTAAATACGCGCATTTGAGGAATTTCAAGTCTCATCCTTTTGAAGTTGCCATTCACATTTTTTGAGTGCAAATGGAAAGGTCAGTACCATAGTAATGGACTCTGTATTGCATTTTGTGTAAGGCTGGTTTGGGCTTCTTGTTAAGGACGAGCTTTGGTAAATCAAGAAAGAGGTATATGTATTGACATTATGGTCTTGCATCACTCACTGTTTGTTTGCACATTTCGGTCTTTGTTTGTTATGCATTGAGTGTTTTGTGAACTCTGTTTATGAATTGCCATACAGGGAACCTCGTGGCTTTGCCTTTGTGCAGTTTGTGGACTCTTATGATGCTTCAGAGGCTCAATATCACATGAATGGGCAGATTTTTGCTGGACGAGAGATCAGTGTAGTTGTTGCTTCAGAGTCGAGAAAAAGGCCTGAGGACATGCGCAGGAAAACCAGGCAGAGGTAGGCATGCATATCTGTTTTGACCTCGAGACTATTTGTGATTGAATGCTTGATGGGAGCCTGGGTAGGAGTGAGATATTTATTTGATGATTGTTTTTATTTTTGGTATCTTGTGCAGAAGTGGTGGTCCACGATATGGTGGACGAAGATCACCTGGCTACAGTAAGTATTGGTCTATGCTTATGAATTTTGTCATTGATGTTATCTAAGAAATCATATTTCTTGCTTTAGGTCTTGTTTATGTGTATAATTTTTTCATTAATCGTGGAACTGGAGATTTAATATTATTGCAGTTTTGTGCGTATGGTTTATCATACGAAGTACTATACTATGCAGTTAGTCCATATTTGTGGCCATGTCTGGTGCTCATATAGTCATATTCTGTTTAGTTGCTAAGTTGCCTTAATTATTTGATATAGCTCTGAAATAAATAGCTCTATTTCTAGATGATACCCGTAGTAAAAAACCAAGTTATACTCCTATTTGATCTGGTTTTTGATGCCAAACCATAGGATTTATTTACTTTATCATTTACGATCAATGTTTGATTAGGGTATATCTATGTTGTTGTCAGGACGCTCTCGTTCACGATCAGTTTCCCGCTCACGCTCGCCTCGCTTTCGCTCTGGTTCTGGCTCTAAAGGAGTTCATCACTCAAGGTGCATTTTAAATGCTGTTCAAATCTACAAGTTTCTAATATGCATATGCATGAGGGTGCATGATAATGCTAATATGTTGTTTTCAGGTCCTATTCCCCCTCTCCCAGAAGACATGAGGAGTACTCAGCCTCTCCTAGTAGGAGGCCTGTTGATCGCTCAAGATCACCAAGGGATTCACCACGTGGTGGAGATGCCCGTAAATCATTTTCCCCTGATCATGAAGATCGTAATGAAACTGCTGTTGGGTATGACAAAAAGTTGTGTTTATTTTTTGAGTTTCTATTGTGATACTGTTATTTGTTAATTAAGGTTTTACCGCATTCATACTGAGTTATTTGTTATCTTCATTCCAGGAAAGCTAAATATGAAGCTGAGGAAGAACGAGGCCGCGGAGATCCTCCAAGGCGTGTTTCTAGATCACCATCTGGCTCAAGATCTCGATCTGCAGATGCGTCACCAGCCCCTAGTAGATGAGCGGCGGATGATGTGATTGTAGGTTTGAATCAGCTTGGGCTATAATCTGCTGAAACAGTTTATAAACTGCTTGTTCTTTTAGTTTAAATGTCATGTGAACTGGGATCTTATAATCTGTTATTATGGTGACTCGTTCAGACTTTTTGGATCTTAATCTAGTACTTCGTACTTCATGTCCTTGCCAAAGCTTCTGTCATGGATGCTTTTGTTATTAGTATGGATTATACATTTTGTGTTATCTGATTGTTTAAAAATGATTGTTGGAATCCTTCTTCGAATCATTAGAATATTGTTATTTTTTGTATAAAATTATAGAAATATTCCCAACAATGAATCACGGAGTAATTCAAATTGATAAGAGTATACGTATAAACTGATGGGGACTTAAACTAGTACTCTGTCTATTCCAACCATGCTCTCTCACAAATAATCCCAACTGCGGAGTATATGATTTACTGTAACTTGTGACCGGCAACCCTCCATATCCCCTCCTCTTTCCGTTGTTGATCTCTCTGTTGAGTCACTATAAACATGGTTAATGTGTATCCGTCGGCAAATTTCCCTACAAATAGGTAACCATTTTATACATGGAAATCCATTTACTACAAGATCCAACTGATTCAATAATCAACATTTACATATTAATATTACCAAGCTTTTATTTGGACAAGTTAAAAAGTTAAACAAAGTTGTCCAATATGCAGCAAACTCCAAAGTTGAATAAATTGTAAACAAAGAAAATATTATTCCTTGCAGTTATACTAATTATATATTCCTAATCTTCCAAAATACAGTGAAAGAACATTGACTAACTTGTGCTATTATCTTCCAATTTTTAATTAACATTGTTCTTAAAAATATACATATATATATATATAATAATAATAATAATAATAATAATAATAATAAATTAATACAAATTCACATAAAAATAATTAGTTTTGCTTGTGCTGCTTAATCATTTTTTTCCCACAATTATATGCAAACGTTGTAGTTGCCACAAAGCTCGTTGAATTTTATCCAATTATCATTATGTTGGACAAGAGTTGTTAGCGGTCAAAGTATAGATGGTTTGACATGACATAAATCAAAGCCGCCATGGTTCTATTTTTATAAACGGAAGTATTATAAACTCAATCAATTAATCAACTAATAATCAGAATATATCATAAGAATTTTCGCATGACTTGACTTTCTAACACTCTAGGACATTGAAGTTTACCATTTCTTCGAGAAAACATCCTCAAGTAGGATGTAATCTACCATTAAGGTTTTTAAACCCTATATAATATTGCACACAATGTTATTTATCCGTAATGACAAAACATACTTCATATTTCTTTTGTCTTTGAAAGTTTAACTTCTATATTTTTGGCATATAAAATAATTTGCAGCGTGTATGTTATCTTTAAATATAATAATTGTAAAAATTTTAAAAGTCAAAATTGAAGGAATTTATAGTATAAAGAATATAAATAGATTTCACATGTAAGAAAAATATAACTTTTTATTATTATATAAATCATAAATTGTACTCGGTTTATGTTTGACATTATTTGATTTTGATCGCTTGAATAATAAATGAGTCGATTTTTGATGATTAGAGGTAGTATGGACTATGGAGTGTGTAATTTATAAATATTCCATCCATCTAAAAATAAGTCTTGTTTAGTTCAACTAATTTTTACTTATTTCAGAAAAAATAAGTTCAAATCATACTGATGAGAAAATATAAGTTCGGATCAGATCATCGTTTTATTTGCAATTTTTTATCGCTAAATATCTTTAATTTCGTAATGAAAAAAGACGAAGATTACATATTAATAAAACATACATTATTACGAACCTAACAAGACTTCAATTTTTTTCTTTATAGATTGTGATATATTTAAGGTTAAAGTTTGGTCAATTCAGACAATCAGATCAGATCGGACCATATCAGACCAGTTCAAACCCGATCAAATAAGTTCAAATAAGCAAAAATAAAGTAAACTAAACAAATCCTTAAATTAATCCTTAGTTGACATATTATCTCACATGTTACTTGTAAGTTGTAACAATACTTAGTACTCGACGATCACCTTGTTTTATAGACAAGGTGATTAACGGATATGAGAAATTTAGGCATACTTATTGGATAATGAATACATGTATAGTATCTTTCTAGAATCCTAGGTACAAATTCAACTACTAGCACATCAATGTAAAATATAAGAGTAATCAAAATTCAAAAGTGGCGTACTGTTTAATTACATTAACCCCTAAAAAATAGTTAAATAACACAAGTTTCTCTTTATTATGAAATCCCCTCCCAAAAAAAAAAAGAAAAAAAAAAGGTGAAATAGCCTAATGTATCAAAGTTTGACCTGACCTATTCTGTAATACGTAGTAGTTCATTATTTTCTCCGTCAACTTATCACAAAAACGAGTAACGACTCCAGCTTTATTCCACCTTATATATATAAGGACTTACCGACTTACTCTCCACAAATAAACTTCATCTATCATTTTCCAAACCTTAATTTTTTCATTAAAACTAACTTCGCACAAATTAATAACTTTTTTTTTTTTTTTTTGAAGCCACAAAATATTCATCAGAAAATTATTTACTTCCAAAAGAAGAGAAAAAGAAAAAAGATAATTAGGAAGAAATGACAGGAGGATTGCTTGAGGTTTTAGTAGTTGCAGCATCTGGTCTTCCCAACGTTGATTTTCTAAGTATGTCTTGTTTTTCTTCCTTTTTTTTTCTCTAATCTATTTTTATGATTTATTTCGGTTTTTAGTTTTGCTAATTTTACATCACTATTATTTCACATGTTGTATAAGTTCATGCATGCTTGATAGGATTTGGTTAAATTCGTCCTAAAATTTGTGTATTTTAAAAATAAATTACAACAGAAATTACCATCAATTTGGAAGGGCATTGGAGAAATTTGGGTAGATGTTCAACAAAATAACTTTTAGATGGTTGATTATGTTTTATAGATTGGTTTTGATATCGAGTATAGTTGCACGTATTGATTGAATCTCGTTTACATCATTACTTTTTATGGGTGTTACAACTCACAACTCTTTATTAATCAATAGTGCTGATTAAATTATGATAATTACAGTAGTTGCTCTGTTAAATTCCTGGAGTAATTCTCTAATTCATACTCCCCTAAACTAGGCTAATAAAAAACGGAGGAAATATTATTTGTAACACCCAATGAAAAATAATGCTATTCAAATTTCAAATTCAAAAAAAGTTGGTTTTTGAACCAAAATTGTCGTTTTATGCTTTAATAATCCTGGATATCAAGTACACCAGTAATTTATGGCAGATTGGCAGCTATGCATGCAAGAGTTGTTTCATACTTTGACTCCAGTCAGTTTCAAATTGTAACAAATCGAGTCAACATTGAGTTTATGCCATTAGTTTAATGTATTTACATTAATTTAAGAACGATGGGAGTAGATAATATAGATATCAAGTACGAATAACCTAAACATATGGTGTAGTAATTTATTGAATCAGTTTTTTTGTAGAGGACTATACGGAATAATCAGTTTTTAGTTCATGTAGTCGACCCCACTATTTATGGGATTAAGACTTTGATTGATTGATTGAGTTTGTTGATAAGGACAAATGCGTGCCATTGGATTTCGATTTTTGTCCGTATGATTGCTAAATCACCCATAAGATACTCTGAGTCAAGCTTAATTGTCCTTTGATAATTAGATGGCTTATTATAAATTGAGTCATGCATGCCACAACTTCGAAGTATACGTGGGACTTTTGATGGTTTCAAGCTGATTTATCTCTTAATTACATCGATTCGTACAAGTTTTCTAAGCACTTCAAAGTTGTTAACGGATTTATTTTTATTATTTGTTAGCAGATAAAATTGATCCCTATGTCGTGGTTAAGTACAAAGGCCAAGAGCGAAAGACCAAAATTGCAAGAGGTTTGTATTTTTATCTTTATATACTTGCATTATTACCTTTGTGTTCTTCCACTTGATTACTATTATAACTTGCATAGTTGCTTTAAGAACAAACTCGATCACAAAAGCTAGTTAGCTTAGCGTTAATACTATGTTTGTCTGGATTTAGTTGTCATGTTGCTAGTTGAAAACCTTAATTTCGGACAAGAAAAGTTGAGCTGAGATGTAGGTCATCTCAGACTGTAAGATCAAAGTTTGATTAACCCCTTTTTGTTATGAGCTTGGTTAGGTTTTAGACATAACAAAAATTGATACTTACTTAACCATTGTACATATTGTCGACTGCAGGACAAGGCGGTAATCCAGAATGGCACCAAAAATTGACATTCAGGGCAGAGTACCCTGGCTCAGGAAGTGACTACCACATCAATCTAAAGATCATGGACCACGACACCTTCTCTTCTGATGATTACATTGGTGAAACGACGTATGTTCTTTTTACTTTTATATCAATTCTTGTCGATGAAAATCAATCAATTTATCACTTTAGAAAGCCTTGAATTTAGATCATTATTAGTTCAACAATTGGCTTTGGCATTGACTAGTATGGAAATAATAGCCTTGTTGTTTGCTCCGGTAATGTGACAAGTAAGTCTAGATTGAGGTTGTTCAATGATCAATTGGTATGCTAAAAGAAATCTATTATAGATACATGATTTTGTGCGTGATGCACAGCAGAATGAATATACCTTTGCTAAATTTGAAGACATATATATTAAGTTTGGAGTTGTGATTGATTTAGGTGGTTGACTAATCGAGTAATTGGTGTTGTATAACAGGATTCATGTGGAAGATCTTCTAGCTTTGGGAGTGGAGAATGGCTCATATGAAATGAATCCGACAAAGTTCAGAGTGATCGGAAGTAATGATAAGTACTGTGGTGAGATCAAAGTTGGTGCTAAATTCACAAAGGTACAATTTCTCTCTTTTTTCTAAGATGTTAAGGAAAACATTCTTTTAGTTTGCATGATTATGCTTGAATAGTTGTAAAGTATATGTTTATAACATGCATAATCACTTCCAAAACTAAGTTTTGGTACCTAATCTAAGTTATAAAATTTTAGTACAATGAAGTAGTAATTCTAAAGATAATCTAAAATACTTAAGTAATACTCCGTATTAACAAGAGTTGTGGATAAGAAACTATATAAGAGCAAAGGTAGAATTGTAGAAATGCTAAACTATTTCCAACTTACTCGTTATACCATTTTGGCACTTAACCTTTTTGTATAGATTGTAGGAATGATCTCAATCGGTATATCTAAATTGTGTGTTCATATTGGATTTTGTAGGCATCAGATTACGACGATGATGAAGAGTTTGGAGGATGGAAGAGTAGCTACGGTGATGACTCTGATGAGTAATTAACTTCTTTAATAATCAATCATAATTGAGATGGACTTCAATCAATATCAGTTATTGTAAATATATTCACTCTGTAGTTGAATCGAATTGGGAGTTTTCGCCTTCTAGTGTTCTAGTTTAACGTTAAATCGGTTTGGAAGTCTTCACCTTAGAGTTTTCTGGTGCTTTGAGTTGATCTCAGAAGACTTGGGACAACTAATTTTGTAATATAGTTCAAATATTAGAATCTATTCAATTGATATCTTTATTCAGCAAAAAAAAAAAAAAAAAAAAAAAAAAAAAAAAAAAAAAATTCAACAAAATGTATTAATCTTGTAGCCTTGTAGGGATCCAATTGTACTTTTCATCTAAATTGCGTTGATTGTACAGCGTATTAGTTATTGTGATATACGAGTATTCGTACTTCGTATTTATTTGTTATTGAGAAAATTGATTGGTTTTCTATTTTTTTTTCCAACATATTATTACTTCACTTAATGATACATGCAACAAAGTAAAGTATTCACATCTTTTTGCATTTTCCTTTACATTGTTTTATTGATGGTTTTGTAATCTCCAACTTATACTGTAAGGAAGTAAAAAAAAATGTATTCATATGAAGTACAATAATATTTTGGAAAATTTGCAAATTGCAGCCATTTAAAGTTCGTATTTTGCAAATTACAGCCATTTAATTTTTTTTTTGCAAATTGCAGCCCAAAAGTTCGTATAAATTGTAAATTGCAGCCCGATTCAATTTTTTCGTCGGTTTACATGTTGAAAAATCTTCACTTAAGGTTTTAAGCGTCCCGAATTGATGTCGGAATTAGCAAAAAAATAACGTAAGTGTCTCATATTTACAGTTTTCCACAAATCGATACATTTTTGTTACGCAAAACGAGATACATACGTTATTTTTTTGCTATTTTCGAGCTCAATTCGGGTCCCTAAGGGCTAAAATAACCCCTAAAACCTTAACCGAAGAATTTTCAATATATAAACCGATGAAAAAATTGAATCGGGCTGCAATTTAAAATTTATACGAACTTTTGGGCTGTAATTTGCAAAAAAAAAAATTAAATGGCTGCAATTTGCAAAATACAAACTTTAAATGGCTACAATATGCAAATTTTCCTAATATTTTGTATTGATTATTTAAAAAAAAAAAACTTTGAAGAAATTAAGCATTATAGGAGTATTCATTGTCAAGCAGGAAATATGAAAACTTAGGTTAATTAGTGAAATTTATTCATGATCAAATATAATTAAATTTATTTATGATTCTAAAAATAAATCTATTAATTATTTAATCAGTAAGCCTTCTTAGCTCAGTGGTAGAGCGCGTGGCTTTTAACCACGTGGTCGTGGGTTCGATCCCCACAGACGGCGTTATTAAATTTTGCAATGTAAGATATATACGAATTAAATATATAAATTAACTTGAAATAATTATCATTAAGCCTTCTTAGCTCAGTGGTAGAGCGCGTGGCTTTTAACCACGTGGTCGTGGGTTCGATCCCCACAGACGGCGATATTTGTTTTTGGAGAAATTTCAAGTAGACCGTGTGCTTCTTAACCATGTGGTTGTGGGTTCAATTCCTCACAAATAGCGATAAAGTGTACTACTACGTAATTTTTTACGTAATAAAGTTTCATTTTTAGAGGAATAACTAGATTAAATCCCGTACAATGCACGGTTATCAAATAATTATAATGACAATAACTTTTACCAAAAAAGTATCAAATAAACTCAAACTCAGTATTAAAAAGTATGAATATATATTGTTTTAAAAAAATGAAATATATGTAAAAGAAAAAAATTAAATATGTAATAGTTATAATGGGAATACTTCTCTCAAAAAAAAAAAAGTTACAATGGGAAATATGATATTTAAAGAAGTTTATTTTAGATTTTGTACAAATTTAGAGTCAAAATTTAGATACAAACATAAAAATAAAGTTTTTTTTTAGCAAGTTATTTTGGAGGGAAAACTCGTTATATTATATTGCCAAATGTCTCTTTAGATTTCGCCTTTAGTATAATGTAATTGATTGATAGAATTAGTATCCGGGTTCAAGTCAACTTCATCTATATGGCATGAGTCATACTATATTTCGGCAAGGTCCATTTTAACACTATCATTCAATTTTACCCGATCATTCAATTTTAAGTATGGTTTGAGTTTAGTTTGAGTCAATTTCGTATCGAGTTAATTTCAATTCGTATCGAGTTAATTTCAATTCGTATCGAGTTGATTTCAGATCGAGTCAATTTCAGATCATTTAGCTTTTAGTAAGATTCAAAATTGAATTGAGACATTCAAATTCGATTCAATATTCTCAGCTACTACATATAATATTGAGCATAAATAATCTTGTCATTTTCAACTACTCATTTCAAAATGGGGCTAGCGGACCTAAGCAATATAGTATTAATAAGTTCAGCTCCTATAAGTGATTGACTTTATAATATATTGCATGTTTGTATCTACTAAACTAGTCTACTTCCGTTCAAAAAAAAAAAAAAAAAAAAAAAAAAAAAAAAACTAGTCTACTTTTGTTCCCAATCAATCCGTTTATGATATTCGTTGACCAAAAGGCTAACAGTAATTCAAAAGAAATAAATTAATACAACAAGTCAATAATTAAATTAAATAATACTTGTTTAAGGCTCAAGTTTAAGGGAAAAAAAAATGGTTAGACGTTGAAGTTGATTCATCAGCTATAACAGCAATACAGCATAGCTAAAGAACTCAGGTTAGTTGAAGCATCACTACCGCAAACCAGCAGAAAATACTTCGAAATGGATACAGTTATGGATATATGTGGTTGAAAATTCCTTTTTATGGGTTTGTCTCAAGGTTTAGTTCTCACTATTCAAGCGACTTTCAAAATTTCCTTGCAAAACACTATAAGGTGACTTATTATATTACTCGAACTCTCAAACGCAAAGGTGTGACTTTTTTTTAAAAACATAAAACATAGCATGGATTATTTGGGCAAAGGTGTGATTTGATACAAAAGTGACTTGTTATTTTACTGGAACTCTCAAATGTGTGACTTGTTACGTGTTTGATGTGAGACCTGTCTGACCCAAGACTTGCAAAGAGTTTAAAAAGTCCTCTCCTGCTTGAATTAGTAATTGGTACGTGGTATAATGTGTTACATTCAGTTAATATAGTCAGCACTATAGACATATCATCGCTGATGTTGAAGTTTTAACCCCTTTGCAGATCTTGATTAAAATATCATTAAAGCCAAGGTCAAAAACTAGTTAAATTTAATTAAAAACATAAAATAATCTTGTCAAATTCAAAGCACCAAAATCCTGACAATCTCTTAATCTATTGTGCCACCTGTTTCAATGGATTCTGAGTATAAACCTGTAAATTTTTTTTTGGGAAAGATAAAAAAACAATGTCATGCGCTTCACGTCCTTCACCTCCCTTCAAATAGGCATAAAAATAAATGAACACAAATGATTTCATGTGATTTATTTCCTTTAAAGTTATTATCTTAATAACCTTAATTTGATAAGTTATACTTTCTCCACCATCACCTGATCACTAACCTCTCCACCGCAATTCAACTCAACTCAACCTGCTTCTTGTTATTCATTCCTTTCCTACCTTTTTGTACTGCTGCCTTTATTTCTGTCTCGTCATTTGTCCTTTATAACTCGACTAACGTTATGGGCACCAACCGGAATGCTCATATGTACGTGTGAATTGTGAAATTTCTTGCTAGAACGAACAATGAAATTCGAAGACTTCCTAATGCCACCAAGTGAAAAGCAACGCAGAAGGATTGCTCTTGAGGAGGAGGTAATATATCTTTTGAATATTTAAGAATCTCCAGCTTATACAGCTACAACAAAAATTATCAGAGCTTTAATCTCGATGATAGACTCTGGCTACCAAATATTCTTATAAATGTTGAAAACTTTGATTACCTGATTTTATGTCCTACAGGTTGAGGAACTGCAAGAGAGACTAACTGGGGAGCTGCAGATAAACGGCGTGCTGCAGAATGCAATAAAGGGATCTCTTCTTTCCTGTTCTTGCCTTTCTTCAAGGCTACCCCTGGAGGTAATTGTAGCTTTCGCTTTCTCGTAGTACTAGTTGCCTAGATGTTAGACCTGAAATTAGTTAACTTGCAGACATGCCAAAGTTAGCAGGTTATCAGGTCATAAAAACAAGAACAATAATGAAGTGTGTGCATTAATACAATAACTCTAGTGAAGAAAACAAAATGTTAACTGATTCCTACATTAATAATCACATGAGAAATTCTGAATGTAACCACAAAATTTCTTAAGAGTTATTTAAATTATATTATAACTTATAACCAATCGGAATCCAAGGTTTGCAAAACATGTCCAAAATCACAGTCTAAATTAAGCTTCTGGTGCAGGTACAGGTGCTTCTAGCAGAATTAGAAATGGTAGAGAAAGAAATCAATTGGCTAGAAACTAAAGTTGAGAAGCTGAAAAAGAACAAATACAACGAGAAGAAACTTATCAAAGATAGCGAGTTAGAGCAACCGAAAAAGTACCTTGAGTGGCAATTGCCAAACAAACAGCAAAATGGTAGAGAGCTTAAAGATTCAAAATGGGTTACAGTAACAAGTCATAACAGGCGAAAAAGCAGTTTAGACGATGGAAGATTATCTTTGAGCTCTATCTCAGACATGGAAAGTTCTTTTGCGAAAGGTTAGTAAAAACTGCTTTTTAAAAAATCAGAATTCCAATCTATACAATCAGAAATTCCTTTTAAAGAATAAATGTAGCAAATTCTCCGTATGGCAATTGTAATAAATAAAGAAATATATCTTATTCACTTAAATTTTCATTGCACCATGGATGAAAGCAGAAGAAACTGCCAAGAGATACCTGAGAATTATCAGAAATAAACCAAACCGCGTCATAGATGCTGAAGCGAGCAGTGAGGAACCAAATAGACTCTCTGAAGAACTTCTCAAATGCTTGATAAACATATTTGTAAAACTAAACCAGACATCATCAGAAAAAGAATCAACTTCTGCTGCTTCCAAGCACAATTTAAACTGCATCAACTCCAAAGGCTTTTCACCCAAAAATACATTCAGCTGTAAAGCAAGATCATCTATCACCAGTGATGATGGAGTTGCACAGGATGGCACAGAAATTGGGTTTGGCCCTTACAAGAAATTCATCCAAATCACAAGAAACTCACTGAAGACAGCTCGGCTTTCAGATTCTTGTCCTGCAACCAGAAAATTGAGGTACCCAGTGCATTCCTCAGTCAGCAAATATTTACGGTAAGAACGAAATCTGACATGCTATAGGACTCTATATCAGGGTTCTGCTGCAGAAGTTATGCTACGTGGACCTGTCATTCTTGAGTAACAAACAAAAGCTAGCTTTCTGGATCAACATCTATAATGCCTCTATAATGCATGTACTGTAAGAAATCTTCAACCAGTCTGAATCCAACTAGATACCAAAACTTTGGTACTAACACACTTCTTTTGTATTCTGGAACCAGGCTTACTTACAATATGGGCTGCCAAATACACAGGAGGGAATGTTGACACTTCTGAACAAGGTAGGTATCCATGCTGCAGATCTTCATCCTTTGCAGGCTTAGAAAATATGTTCAGTAGCATGAAGCAAAGCTAGAATAAGAAAGCAATATTTAGAAAATTAAATCTGTATGATAGGGAAGAACTGATGCGTACTTTTGTACCAGGCAGCTCTAAATGTTGGTGGAATAGTGTTGAATGCACTGGCAATTGAGCATTACCTTCTTCGACATCCAAGTGATCCAAAACTTGTAAGTAGTCACAGAATCATCCTATTTCCATCTTCTTAAGTATAGTGATTTGATATTTTATAATTGAAACTAGAGAGGAATGCATAAAAACATCTATGCATGCAACATTACCCACGCAGAGCGCTCTTTCAAACCTACATTTGATTATTCTCCAACCCCTAGGCCAACTCCTATACAAAGTAAATCATTGCTAACTAGGATAAGAAAGAAGAAACTAAACTATCTATGATTTCCTCAGAGTAAAAAAAAAATTAATCATCTGAGGAGTTGGTTAACAAATAATATGCAGGGGATGGAATCATTCAAACAAAGTGGTGTTTTTAATCCTACACTATTCTCTGCATCTTCAAACTCTTCACCTAACTCATCAATTTCTATGTATAGGATCTCATAAATGAGAAGGAAATGTTACTGCGCCGGGCTTATGGACTGCGGTATCCAGAACCGAACATCACCTTTGCACTTTGCCGAGGCAATTGGTCTTCACCAGCAGTGAGTATAATCTCCTTGACCATATACACATTTATCACCTGGTGTTACAGTAAACCTCAAGCTAACCATATTAGTTTTTACAATTTACAGATGTGGATATATACTCCAGAAGATGTTGTAGATCAATTAAGTAGAGCAAAAGTGGAATACTTAGAAGCATTTATACGAGTAACAAGCAAGAGGAAGATCCTAGTGCCCAAACTCCTTCAATGGCACATGCAAGATTTTGCAGATGACATGGAATCATTGATAGAGTGGATATATAGCCAATTACCACCAAATGGAGTATTAAAAAGAGCAATAATGGAGTGCCTATATGAAGACAGAAAGCTTCCAACAGGAAAGATGATAGAAATTGTGCCCTACCAATATGAATTCCAGTACTTGCTGCCACATTAGAGGAATAACAAGCCTGAAAAAGAAACTAACAGATCTGGTGCAACAGGCACACTAAATAACATAACTTCACATAGCTGTATAGCTTCATTCATAATGGGATCGATTCATCAAAAAATTCCTATCCCGGTTCTCAAACCAGTAGAAATTGTACAAAATATATTCCGTAACTTATTAACAGATGATTCAAGAAGTCCTATGTACTAATGGTAGTATCTAGGTAGCATTAGTACTAGGCTGTACTTACAATCAACAGACAAATTATAACCAGAGACTTCAGCTAGCTGTGGAATAGTTATTGTAATATGCACAGTCAAACTATTCAGTACTATACTATCTCCACATCCAACTATAAAATTAGGTACAAATTGATTTTACATTCCAGTGGCATGTACCCAGCAAAAAGATTGTGTCAAAAGTGTGTAAAGTTAACACACCTCACGGGCTCCAGTTTGACTGGAATATGATATATTTCTAGCTGCCATTCTTACCTTTACATGGGAAGTTTGTTGGCAGAAGCAATAGGAACTCTACCCAGTGTTCACTCGGCCACTAGAGGCGTCAAGGTTCTCAAGGGTAGTCAGCATGTACATAACTTCACCGTGATAACTGAATAAAGCATTGCAATGTACAGAAAGAACTGAATAAAGCATTGCAATGTACAGAAAGAACAATTCACACGTTGATTTCATTGATAAATTTTCCTTCTCGGAAAGTTTTACAGATACCTCAACTCATATACAGCCCACAGGCATGTCCAGCACTCTCTTTATAATAAATATGACAAAAAATAAAAATAAAAAATAAATAAATAAAAATAAAAAAACAGAATTAGTTGAAGGGGTGAAAAGGAGTATGCAGAAAATGTTGTATGAAGGATAATGATATTAAAGAAAACATGGTAGCACAAGAAAGAAGCTCATCCACTTTTTTTATGAGCTGCTAGGCGAGGATTCAGTTAAGAAATTTACAACTCTATTCAACAGATTTAAGCCAAAAACAGTTTCTTCACAGTTGACCTTCACGGATATATTTAATGGTTCTGAGCAAGAACCTTCAACAGTAACGGTAATCAAGCAAGGAACAGAACTGCTTAATATCTCAGCACTGAATAGTAAGCACAAACCTGATGCATCATCAAGTTTAGAGGCCAGTGGAAAATCCACAGATACGAGAAAAAGGTTTGCATTACTTAGCATCTTTAGTGCTATGCTCTCACATATTATAAGATACACATCCTTTGTCAAATAAGTGTCACTTTTGTCCTTGCTCAGCTCCACAATATGATCAGCAAAGGTGCACCTGAGACATAATAGTAAACATTAAATACCCGGGAAAAAATAAATAAATAAATAAAAATCGGTAAACACTGAGACAACAAATCAAGGACAAATAGCACCGAATCCAAGCAAATAAGATAGCGACACACTTGCATCACATTAACTGATGAGTGACCCAGCCAAGCAAAAATATTATAGGGTTCATTGCCAATATGTGTATATATTTTAAGAAGATGGTCGCCCTTACATTATCATACATAAAATACACTATCCATAAGAGACGTCATTGCTTAGCTTTTTGACAGAAAGAAGTTACTCCAGTAGTCCATTACTAACTAAATTAAGGGCAGTTATTACAAAAATTCTCCGTCCTGATGATTTTTATATTTTTATTGAACAATAATCAATGCAATAATGAAATTATTTAAGAGCAAAGTCATCGTTTCTACATGTAGGCATCATGATGGCAAGATGAACTGGAGATTTTCGAACTTGAAAAGACAACATGATCATGGTTCTAATAGTCATACCACATGCAAATTGATTTTCCATTAGCCTAAATAAAAAGTGAAAGAGGAGACAGCATTGGGTCAAATTACGATCATGAATGTGACTATTCTTCCATCTGTACTCTGGCTTTTAATAAGCAACTTTTGATTAATTCATGGTTTAGGACAAGCTACAGTGTTTATAAAAAATAATAACATGAATTTCTATGTTGAGTACCACCCCTTAAGATGATTTTAATCATTTAAGCTAGTTGATCATCCACATTCAGCAAATAATCATGAACAAAACTAGAGTAAGAACAAAAATAATTAAGTGCCATACCTTCTCACATATTCAAACATGCCAGGCAACTGTGATTCCTTATTTCTAAATTCTGGAACATCCATTTTTAAGGGCTTTATAAAGTATCCAATATCAGGCCGCAACTTGACAGGGTAATTCTTGCCATTGCACTGTAATGACAATTTTAGGGGTAGCAGATGATGATGAAACCGGACCTGAAGAACCCGTTTTATTATCTGACTTGGTCCAAGAGAATCAATTCCTTCCATTGGAACCAAAGTTGGAACGTCAACCTGAGCAGCAAATGACCTGAGATATCAAACCCTTTAATCAATCACTGCTTTTTTAAGTTAAAAAAAAAGGACTATAAGGAAGCTCTGGAAAAATTACAAAGGAACCAAATAACACAAAATGAACCATTCCACCCATCAAGTACTGCCACCTAGAATCTTCATATTTTTTTGAAAATCACAATGGAAACTAATGGCATCATGCACTCAAGTTAATGTCACAACATGAAAAATGTGATAGCATAACATTGTCTGAAAACTTCCTTTCTATATTAATGATAAAATAAAGTTCAGACAAATGCTATCTCAAAAGGAACCCACCAAAATAGCAGTGTGGAAAATGTGTCATTGTGTCAAAACATCAATCATCATAGTGCAGAGTAATGAAAAAAGAGCACTGCACATAATAATACCCCTAGAAACATCAAAACAAGACCTAAGCTACCCACTAATCAGAAAGAAGTATAGATTCTGGAAATCAATCCTCATGCATTCATGATCAAGAAATTCCTGAAAAAATCATTCACCTTTTTCTAAGTATCTTCCTCAAGTTCACTGTTTGCAAAATCTATTTGACCAAAAAGCACTATCCAAAGACAATTGTGTCCCAGACAGCTGAACCCCATAGCATTAACCTAAACTTGTTCCTCTATACTGGTACCTCCCGCATCCAACCTTTTTCCATCTATTTTTATTCTAGAGAGGTGTCAACTTTCGAAACATACATAGGCGTGTCATGTGCAGTTGCCATTCCTTGATTGGGAAAGCATAACCCAGCAAACTACATCACAAGTAAGAAGCAAGGCACAACATACGGAGACATTTGATGCAAACCAATATTTCCAAAGCTGAAATATTAGAAGTAAACATTTAACTTCTTCAGCTGCACATTAAATGGACACGGGAAGTTCTTCATATGTTCTTACTAAACTTTGAGTAAGCATGCGAGACAGGACTCGTAACATTCTCAGCGAAAATGATAGGAGTTCTGGCCTTCTGAGCATAATTTTTGAGAAATTTCACATCAACAAATTATAGTTTAAGCTTAACTGACAACTCAAATTTAGCAACAGAAAGCACCCACAGAATCCACAGGTTACAATGACAAATATTTTACAAGAGATGGGATATACTCATCATGTCAAGTACACACATCAGTTTCCTTATATTGTAGCTAATATATGTGTGTGAGTGAGAGAGAGAGAGAGAGATGCTCATATAAATAGTTAAGGATTTAAAAATTAAAAGTATATCTAAGCATTTCAGTTAATACCTCTCTGCTGTCATAAATTCTTGTTCTGTCACATCTGGACCTCTGATGGGGTCTTGATCTACCAACATCACTTCTGAAATAGGCTCATCAGAGCAATTATGAAAAGTAACCTCCACACAAGTTAGCAATGGTGAGATGTCTGATATCTGAGAGGAAAATGAATAATCCACCTTCAACCCCTGACCACTCACAGTATCTAGAAGTGTATATGATTTAGGCTTGACCCGATTGCTGAGATCATCAATGGAGATTCTGGCAGATACCTGGATGGCATCACTTCCAGATGATTTCAGGTCCGACAAAACAGGCTGCTCGCCCAACCATGACTCTAAAGCCCTCCTAGATAAAATTTCCTCCACTCCAGATCCAGACGGGTCGTGAATAGTTTCAGCACTATTCTGCCCCTTAGATGAATAGTCCATGTCTGAAATCTGGATCAGTGGACCTGAATTATTATCAGCTTCACTTAGAGTTTGGCTCTCCTCACTGCCATAATTAGAAACCGAGGCACTATCTGAATACTGAGAGCTGAAATCAGATGCACTTCCTTCATCCAGAGAACCAGAATTTCTCTCAGAATCATCTGTTACATAGAAGTCCCCAGACTTTTCTGTTCCTTGGAGTACATCAGAGTCTTGGTCAAAATCGGCAAGAAGCAAGCTACAAGGTTTAGGGAGAGGCTCATAGCCTGGCGCAGCATGAAAAACTATTTGTGAAAGAGAGCCAGGAAGATAGAAACGGGAACTTATGGGTTCAGACAATGGTGACCCTTTAGGGAGCCCGAACATTTTTTCTGCAATGAGATGGACTGCCTCCTCTTTTGGTGAAACATAGTCTACATCATTATCATGAGAGCCCAGAAACGTTGACAGTATCTTTGATAAAACACGAGCTCGGTCACGGACATCATATTTCGTGTCATTCTTTGCCAATTCAAGAACATAAGTTACAAGTTTTTTAATTGTCAATTGATCTAGATCTTCCCCTTTGGCACCCAATAAGACCTGAATCAAAGGAAAAAGAAACCATTCAGTTATGATTTATACATTTATTGACAACACCAAGAACATGAATAGCAAGCTTATCCACCAACGAGAGCATAGAACAGCAACTGTGAATAGAAAATGCCAGAGTTTACATCACGTAAGGTATCGGAAAGGACCAAAACCCCCTTTTTTTGCCACATTCATAGGCATGCAATTGTCAAGTCATATAATCTGCAATTCACAGAGATTCACAAATTGTTTCCAAAAAAACTCCAACACTGTACCCTTGCTTCAAGGAACCGTACTTGCTGTTGATCCAATTAGTGTACGATACAACTCATACAAGTCAAAGAACCTTGCTTGTGGTCAGACACATGAAGCATATATGAGGATAAGAGCCATTACACTTTGATGCCATGTCTGTCCATAAATCATGGCCAATCACAAATATCAGTAATAAAATACATATTTAGGGTTATATTGAATAACTCTGGGTTTATAAATTGAAAAGTTGATAGACGATAATGAAGATATTACATTTGGGCTTTTATTCTCCTTAGATAAGCGGCCCAAATGGTAATCTCATTGAGTTATTTGGTTCACTTTACTTTTTTTTCACAAAATAAGTTGCATAACTTTGAGCCACTTACATATTATCCGTTCTTTCTCACAGAATTCTTTTTATATTTCTGATTTTCTGATCCATAAACAAAACTAAAAACAACACAGGAGCAGTGTATGTAGTTATTCAAAGTATGACTACTTTCTCATATTTTCCTACTATACAAAAACAAAGCAGTCTATTACATAGAAGTACAAATAGGAGGGTAGACAAAGACAAACATAAACCATAGGAATACACATTTGGGCCTTGCCAAGATCTGGGGAATGGAGTGAAAAAATCAATGGTGTAAAAAATTTCAGCTTGCACTCTTTGCCTGAATTC